CTCTGATTATAAGCCCCCGTGTGGAGTTGATGGGCTTATCTAACCAACAAGGCATGTCTTTTCCCTAGGTCCTCCAGTAGAGAGGTTAGAATAAGTTGGTACCAACTTTTGTCTGTAGTCTACTTTAGGAAACCCTCCCTCGCCCAAAAAAAAGGGGGAGAGAAAGGGCACCCGAACCTCGCTGGGGAACTTCCACTTCCCAAGGCTGGCAACGAACATCCGAGTCAGCACCCCCGTCGGCTTCGATCTGAGCCAAGGTCCGGGCACCAGCGAGGCATCCTCTGCAGTGGTGGGCTTACCCATCACGAGGCGCGCCGCATCACCCACCTGAGTCACTTGCTCAAAACCCGGTCTTAAAATGGTGCACCCAGAACCATGCAAAGAATTAAGAAGGCGGCCGCATCTATTTATGGTTGGGATTGTCCCTTACTAACCTTTATCTACCCAGGTTTTGATTGTGGCTCACCTAAGATCGAGATCCGACCAAACTTTGGACCCCCCTTCTTCACCCGCTTCTGCCTCTGGCGCAGTGCCTCGCCTTCTTGCGGAGCTGGTACCCTTGCTTTGGCGGGGTTTAAAGGGAAACCAAGGAAGGGGGTTCCCTACAAACAAACACACACACACACACACACACACACACACACACACACACACACACACACACACACACACACACACACACACACACACACACGCGCACACACACACACACGAAAAAAAGAGTAGTACAATGCTGAACCGGGGCACCGCTGGGTGTGTGGGAGTTCATAAACGCGAAACCTTGCGTGGCTGGCTCGATTCGGATGAGTGTGGTGCTAACAGGAAGCAAGAAACTCCAACAGGGCTTACCATGTCGTTTTTTGGGGTTCCCTGGGAAAAAGTCAGCCAACACAGAGGCCACCCATACTTCCCACGGAAAGAAAAAGAACTAGGAAACTCACTAAAAGTTGGCCAACCAAAATACCAAGGACGCGGATGTGTCCCAACTTCACTATTTTGGCATATATGGCAATAGAAGGTGGTACACGTTGACCCAGCTTGGAGGAATGATGATGTTTCCAGCTAAGGCACCTGTCTCCGAATCTGACCCAACATGTCACCGGAAGATGTTGACCCAATTTTTAAGGTTTGTGGACTTCTTACAGTATTTTTCTTTCATTAATAAAGGGTCACTAGAATCCCAAGGGAAGACTGTACAGCTGTATAAGGGTGTCCAGGTGCACCCTCCAACGAAGACATCTTCGTCTCAGGCCGAGTGGCAGAGATGGGCTCAACCTCAGTCGCCAGTTTTGAGTTCGATTCAAGGCATGGGATGAAAAGGCAGTTATGAGGGGTGTCATGATTTGAGATCGTACCGACTTTTGGGGTGGTTAAAAAAAAGACACCAAGCATTTGTTTGGGGGTCCCCTATTTTGGGACAAGCCATATGATTGTGTGTGTTGGGAGAAATTCCTAAACCATCAATCCAACCACCAATTCAGGGTTGCCTGATAACACATTGGAAATCACCCCATGATGTTCTGCAATATCCTACTAAACAAATATAGTTTGAGGGTCCAGGTGGAACTTTCGAACCGAGAGCTTCATTTCATGTTGGTTTGTCCTATTTGGGTGTGTCAAATTGTGGGCCAAAAAAATATATGTATGTTTTCCCTAGGTGTGGGCAGTACACCGGGTCACCAGAATGATTCAACACAGTGCTCGGGTGTTCAGGACTCTGTTCAGAATTCAAACGGTTGCAAGGAACGGCATGCAATGTCAGCTTGCCTCCAAGTGGTTTGGGGCCCGTTGGTGTGGCAGTGAAGGCTAGCTTCCCATCTTCCGAGCCAGCGGTTCAACTCCAAATCCAAACCAATCCACCAACTCGCGGGCACCCTCCCATGGTTGCGGAACATGCCATGTTCTGTGACACCACAATAACCATCCCCACTCGCTTTTGTGTGTTGTTATTTTGTTGTTGATTGTTGTTCTTAGTTCTTGATTGAGCGCCATCTTATCCCCACCACTTGTTCACTCAGGGGATTCTGTTGGCACATACAGTGCACTTCAAGGCGCAGCGAGTGGAGAGTAAGCCTGGTTGCAAGCCACTTAGGTAAACTTGTAACCATGGCTGTGGGTTGTAACCAGGCTTACTGACCACTTAGTAAGTGTCCTGCGCCTCTAAGTACTATTTTCTTTTTCCCGCAACCACGTCCTGGCAATTGAGCCGTGCCGTTTGAGGCTCCACGCCCAAATTGACATACTGGAGGCGTGCTCCGGCCAAAATACCTGAGGCGTATCGCCCAGCCCAAACCGAAGGACACTCGAATTTCTGGACCTTTGCGACAATCCACCCGTCCGTCCAATCGACATATTCTGTACCTTGCATTTTCATTCTGCCTTGGTTCCACTTGTTTAATGCAACAAGGCAGGACCAAAATGAAAGTCCCCCCCAGTTCCAGGCCATGAACTATTTCTTGGAACCTGGCTTGAAAGGGTTTCGAGATTTTGTGTCGCGCGGAAACCGCCCGGTGGTGCCAAAACCATCCTCAGACTTCGCGATGCTCTGAACCCAGCAGTCATGACTGGCTGGTGGCGACAAGCCGGGTGTTGGTTGAATGAATCGGATCTGAAAATCCCTAAAAAGGAACAAACTCGGGGATGGGATATCGCAGGGTCGTTCTAATTCAGGGACCCTGACAAGAACCGGCAAGTAAACAAAAGGACACAATTTGGATGTGGCTCCAAAATTAAGCTGCGACAAACCGCAAGTTGTCTTTGTTTTCGTATACCAAACTCATGAAATCTTGGGCACCATTGTTTGAGCCAAAGATAGATCAATACTCCCCTACAGTTCGACATGGCACCCAAAAGGGGTGTCCCCAAAAGAAGATTCCTCTACATGGCTGAGTTTTCGGGCTCCTTGTTCATCTGTAGGGGAACGTTGTTTGATTGGCAACGCTCACCTTGATCAACAGTGTAGTCGGTGTGCGCCTTGAAAAACCGCTCATGGGGCCTAGCGGCTGTACCTACAACAGAGGTGCACTGGCTTGTTTGGGGTAGTGTCTCCAGAGTCTGTGCACCAAGCCATGTGGCTGTGGCTCAACAAACCGGTACCAAAATGGAACCCTGGTAAGTGGAAACATGGACCAAAACCTGCGCAACCCCTTGTTTAGTTTTGAGCCACACACCTGGTGGTAGGAGGGTTATCATTAACAATCCTAACGTCTCCATGACCCTGTTGAACATTAGGCCGCGTACCCAAAACTGCATCGTCATAACTCCGGACGTGTTCGTGGTCAGGATGGATTCAACATCTGCATCCTTAGATACCAAGAGACCTTGTGAAAACTCATGGGCTTGTCTCAACATGGCCCCTTGATCATGGCATTGGTTCTGCTTTTTGGATTTCCCTAAGCTTAAAGGGCCACCCTCAACAAGCCCAGGTGGTATCCCCAACTCCGAGACCCAGAGCCGCAAGCTGCACCACTATATCTGGGACTCCAGTTGGGCCTACTTCCTGAGTGGATTGGCCCAAAAAAGCAACCAAACTTTGTGTCTACCACTCAAATGCTTCCCAAAAAGTGACTAGAGTCCAGCACTTCTTGCGGATTGGTCCGGCCAATGACCACGGCAACCACACGACCCAAAGTCCGAAACGGAACTCAGGGAGTGAGTGGGCACTAGTACCAGGTCAAAGCCGGCCATCGCCCTGACGCAGTTCGCGCGACAAGCCCCAAGGGTGAAGGGACCACTTTACAGGGTCGCTCTTTTTGACTACCCCAGGGTAGACTGAAACCCAGAAGAGTTCATTCCCCCCAAAAGGAGAACCGATTCCTGGGTCTAAGTCTATGGTGTAGTCAAAAAGTGGAACTCAGCCACTTTAGGCCGGCATCCAAAAGTGAACAGATATCAGCTCAAGTGCTCAGATATCACAAGCTGAGGATGGGCTTTTGGGAGTTTCAAGCAGGAAGCAACCTCTTTTTTTTCAGGTACAAAGGGACCCCGGAATTTAGGTGTGAACGCTCTGAGCATTTGTTTATCACAGTAGAATGATTCCAAGGGAGGCAAAGAAAGCCATTCGGACTTGGTCCTTTGAAGGCCAAAGGAGCAGCCTGAGCCTCCAAATGTTGGCTGCAGGAAAGGTCCGCGCAGGCTACGAGTCTGCGCATAACACATGGGTACACCACACTTCTATAGGGAGACGCCAGGAAAAGGCATCTACCAGCGTGCAACCTTGTGAGCTGTGCAGACATGACTGAGACAAAAGACAAACTGCAGAACCCAAAACGGGCTCCTGAGATCCTTAGCACTCCTATAAAGGTTTGAGCTCCTAAGGGCTCTTTCGTAAGGCTTGTGGCTTATACCGAACACCAAAAGGACTAAGGCGCTGAAGAGTTTGTTTAGGGACGGCACATGCCCCATGAAGCCGCGGTGGAGTCCATGAAGCCGTTCTTTCCCCTGCGTTCCCTGCTTTTGAACTGCCGTTCTTTGGAAAAGCCAACAAGAAAAACTAACAAAACCAGCATCTTGGAACGACTTCTGGGTACTGAAGACAAAATGTGGAGTCTGATCCACATTTGGTCTACCCTGTGTTAAAAAGAAAAACATGTTCTGAAACCCCATGTCTTTTTCGCGGGAAGCCTTCAAACGGCAATGTCTTTTGGTGTCCCTTTACCAGCCATGAAAGGGGCAATGGAAGGGGCTATATCATCAGATTTGGGTTCGCGGTCATGTCCCCGTGAGAAATCATGTTCCCCATGTTGGGTCCAATCGATGGAAGTTAGATGTGTAACAAAATATAATCTTCCCAAACCCCATTTCCCTCCTACAAGAACCAGGGGGTTCAAATCCCCAAACGGACCCAAACCAAGGGCTGACCTGAAAATCGGTCCAACATCCAAGGCCAAAGACCAAACTCGGGGGGTCACATGGCTTGGAACCCTCAGACTTTACTGAATGACGGCTTGGAACCCTCAAATTGACGCCTCAGAGCGTCCAGGAAACGCATGGCCGCCCAGTCAAAGCGCTGGCCTCACCGCTCTCTGAGAGATTTAACGAGGACTGTGGGGGGTTGGAAAAATGAGACAATACTGTGGATGGACGAAATCCATTTCGCACCAGTTTGAAACCATAGGAAACCATTGTTCGTTGGTATTAACAGGGACATCATCAGTCCATGGTTTCTTGCGTGGTGCAAGATTTCGTCCATCCAGAGTATGTCCAGTAGTGCTACAGCAGCGATAGATTCCCTTTAAGACAGGGGAACAAATTAAAACAACAACTTCAGGGGGTGTCAGTTGTCCAGCGCCGATCCTCTCTCCTCACTTCCTTTCAGTAGATTGGCCATTCACCAGAGAAAGCCACACTTTGTGTTTGCCACAATGGCCACCAGACCGAAACGGGACCATCCAGTCCGAAACGGGACTCACGGGGTAAGTGCCAAGTCAGCAGCTTCTGCCCGAGCTGAGGAACCCGAAGCTCAATCAGTTCGAGCAGTTCCGAAGGGTGGCTCCAAGGCCTCAAGAGAAGGTCTAACCTTGCATAGCTTCAAGGAAGCCATGTGAGTGCGTCTTTTTTGAGGATACCCCTTTTTGCGTCTAAACTGCTGCTCAGTTGTTCAGTGACCCTGGAAAAAAGGGAACCCTTTTTGCGGAAGACCAATTTAGTGGGGCAGGCACCAACAAAAAAGGGAAAAGGGTGCCACTGGACAACTGAGATGTCAGTGCGTCTTTTTTGAGGATACCTCTTTTTGGGTGCGTCTAAACTGCTGCTGTCGAAAACCTCTAGTTAAAACACTTGTTGAGGAATGGACCCCTCGTCAAACGACCCTTTCTTCGGTTTGCCTTCAAACCACTCCCCCCCCCATCCAAGAAAAAGACAACAACAAACATGGAAGGCAACACAAGGAACATACCACAAACCAGATGGGTACAGGTGGGTTTAGGATCTTCTTTCAAGAGGGGGTTTGAAAACCGACTAGTCAAAGGTCACTTTTCGCCCGAAGGAGCAAACGATGAATCACCGGTATGGAAAAGCCATTTGGGTATGTCTGAAAAATAGGGCACACCCCCAAATAGGTGCTTCTGCTTTTGGATTCCCCTTAAAACGACACCAAAAAGGGGGTGCCTCAGAACAAGACGAGGCCATTTCTTTCCCAAAGCGATCCTGGAATCTTTGGATCCGGTCACATGACCAGCCGCCTTTGTGCCTGGAAATAACAACTTCCATTTGCTTTTGCGCCCACTGGAAGAACTAAAACATATGTCCAGCAGTGATAGATTCACTGTAAAAATCAACAGGGGGAAAACACAACATATTCTTAAGCAAATGGATGACAAGGTTTTGATCTTTTGGTGATTAAACCACCAGGTAAACCAGGGCCATCTATTTTTCTAGCAAAGAAACCAAAAAGGACACCTATGGGGTCAAAAGGTCGAATCCAAGTGGGTAGGGCCGAGTAGGGAGTCCGGTCCCTCCCGTCCGAATCGCTGTACATGCGGTCGGTGCCTGGCGACAATGGCCGCGGCACACTGGGCCGAGCCTCGCTCTCAGCTTCGAGGTGCTGCCGCGGCTACTGTCAGCTTCCCCAAGGGTGGGGAAGGCTTCTTTTTCAACCTTGCAACGCTGTTGAACCTTGACACTTGTTTAACCCTGGATGTCTTGCTCTTAGCCTTGTGTAATTGGGGTTTCGCAAGGCTTTTTGGAGTTGGCCCCCCCGGTTTTGATGAACTGTTGCCCGAAAACCCGAACTTCCATTTGGTTAAGACCACTGAAAGGAAAAAACAAAAAAGCGTAGTGATAAACTCCTTTGAAAACCAACAAGGGAAGATAACAAATATTAAGCAAATGGAAGCAAAAGGACAACCACCAATTTGGGGGGTCCCCAAACACAAGGCCTGGTGCGTGCAGGGCTTTGCCAAGAATCAGCCGCCCTCTCGGTTTGGATTGGTTTAGAAGTTTAGAAGACACCTGGGTTTTGGACGAATGTTGGGGGGGCGCCTGTTCTCAGAGGCCACTTCACTCACTGAGCCAGGGGCAACCATCAGCGCGTCTGCGCAGATGCCAGTCAGCGCTCCTGCGCAGCTCTGATAGTTCAGGTGGCAACCTAAAACCCTACTTAAAGGGGGCATTGTAATGTTGACCCAGGATTGATAAACCCGTGCCCACTATTAGGGGGCTGTTCCCTCCCAAAGTGGTCTGAATCCCCACTAAAAGGAATTGGACACCCCCCTGTTAATCAACCAGGGGTTCTGCTTACTCCGGGGTTAACATTACGTCAGGTGAGTGGTTCGTAAGCCTGGCTCTATCCCAAAGCCATGGTAAATCTCATTTCCGTGGGTCTCACCGTACGTATGGGCCACTTGCCTGACGTACCGAATTGCCCCGTTTCAGGGATCGGCGACCTCCCAAACGAGGAATGCCTGAGGCTGAAGTGATCGGCACGTGACCCCAGTTGAAGCAACCGAGAAGAGAAAAAAGCGCAACCTGAAGTTGTGCGCGTTTGCTGGCCAAAGAGCAAATTGAAGAACCCACCAAATGGCCAAAAGATCTAGGGGTACCTTCTCCATTCTTTCCAGGGATCCTTCTTTCTAGAAACCCTCTGGAAACTCAGAGAGAACGGCTGGTTGTTGGAAAGAACGATGCTTGAAAAGAATGGAAAAGGAATCAACCCCTGGAAAAGAGCCAAACGGTGAGGGACCTAGTCAAGGACATTGAGTTAAAAGCTTTGCAAACAAGTGGCCATGGGTGTTCCACCCGGAGGGAAAAAAACACATTTGTTTCCTGGTTGAGCCGCAGGCTCACTGGCACGTGAGTTTCGGGGGACCCACGAAATGGATATCCCCAGCATGCGGTGCTCGCTTTGCTCGCGCCCGGCCCTCGCAGAACCTCGAACCCTGGTGAAACCCTAACCCTGATGGAACCCTCGTGGAACCTCAGGGTACCCCAAGAAAAGGGTGGGTTGAAGAGGAAACCAAGAGCAAACCAGCCATTGTGGGGGCTCCAATTCCTATTTTGAGACATACCCAAAGTGGTTGGGCTCAAAAAGATCGCACCACGACAAGGACATCCCAACTTCTGCACAAACACACACACACACACACACGCAAACACGGTCTTGTTTTTGTGGGTACCGGTTTTGGGGTTTGAAGGAAAACCAAAGGGCAACCCACCGTTTTGGGGGCCCAACCTAAACACACACACACACACACCTTCCATTTGTTTGAGCTGCCGGAAACAAGCATATTTCCAGTAGTGATGACAGATTCCCCTTCAAACCAGCAAAGAAAATCACACATATTCTTAAGCAAATGCAAGACGCACACCAAAGCCCACAAACACACACGCATACACCACACACGCATACACCACACCCCACACACACACCCCACACACACCACACACACATACACCACAGACATACACCACACACCACACACGCACGACACGCCCCGTGCGATCGACTCGTTCCTGCGCCCGCTGCCATCAGCAGATGCGCGGAGCTGGCAACAGGTCCTCAAGGACCCAAGGCTGCCCGATTTCTGATCCCCCGCTAACAGTGACTAACTTATTGGTGGGTTCAATGGCAATTACCACAAAACAAAAGTTAAGTGGGTTAAATTCGGAAGTTTAAAGCAGTTGCCAAGAGACTAACTTTGAGTGGGTTAAATTGGGAAACAACCACTAAACACCAGGCTAAAAAGGATGGCTGGAAGCCACCAAGAAGGCACAGCTCTCGAGAAAGCCCGTCGGTCACGCTCTCGTCATAAAAGGGGCCGGTTGCAGAGTCGATGGATTTTCGGTTTTTATTTTTTTTGGGGGGGGCTCAATGGGGGGCGGTCATTTTGGGGAAGTGTTTGGGGAAGTGGTTTGGTACTATAAAAGGGTTGTTGTTCTTTTATTTTCGGACTTTTTCGGTCATTTGGCACCTTCTTGGCAGGTACCAAGGGACCAAACAGGGTGTGGGGAATGGTGACGCAGAAACGAAATGCTGCTGACAAAGGGATGCTCCAAGGGTAGATTCCACTGGGTGTTTGAAGAGGTCAGCTCGTGGTTGTCCTCTCTCGCTTACATCCCTGGGACACGCATGCGTTTGGACTGCCTTCCACGCAGTATTGTCAATACGTTCACAGAAACTTTGAAATGTTGGATTTGGGTAACTAATCTTTTTTAGGGGGGTACCAAAACGGTGGTTGTGCTTTTGGCTTCCTTTAAACCAAAAGTATCAACTCAAACGCAAACACCCCGATTGGAGTTTGGAGCCAGCACAGGGAGCGCGCGACTCGTCTAGCCTCGATGTGCTCCGAGTTGCCCCAGGCTTCTGACAAATGGCTAGGTTTGGCTTTGGAAACCAACCAAGACTCACCAAGAGCAAAGGAATAAAGGACACACACCCAAAGAATCCGATAATCTCAAGTCCCCTACAAATGTTTCTGTTGGTCTTCCTTTCAAAGGGGAAAAAACAACAACAAAAAAAAACATACCCAACTCAGTTGCCTTCAGGCACCAAAACAAAACAGCTTCAAGCTTCTGGAACGGATCGCTGGCCTTTTGGAAAAATAGATGGGTTTCGCTGGTGAATGGATGGCATAAAACAAATCTAAACTAGTGGAACCCATCTATATTTAACCAAACTAGCCGATCAAAAGGACACCTATGTGGACAACATTCCTGGCAGTCGAGAGGACATGGGAGGCCTACTCAATCTCCACTACCTGGAGTCTCCATGACCCTTAAAAAAAGGGGTTAACGCCATTCTTTTGGATAATGACCCCAATTTTTAAACGTCATGGAGACTCCAGGTACTGTCTCACACAAAAGTTGGGGGGGACCTTTGTGGGCCTCACGGATCCTCAGATCAGCATCCAGCCAGGGCGCCGGTTGCCACCGACAGCGATGCCCCCGCAGTGAAGACGAGACAGCTTCTTGTAGCCTGGTCGCGTGACGCGCAATTGGAGGGCCATGGTCAAGTGACGCATGGCTGTTTTTCCCGGAAATCCCTGGGATTCGAAAACCATTGCTTCCTGGGCTGCCCATTGTCTGATCCCCCGCGAAAAGTGTTTGACTCTTAGTGGGTTAAAATCGGGAACTACCACTAAACGCTAAAAAGTTCTAAACGGCTAAGGGACCGGATGGCTGGGAGCCACCAAGATTTCCGCGGGTTTCCATCAATTCGAAGCCCTTCTTGGTTGGTTTGTTCAAGGGACACCAAAACCTTGGGGTTCAGGCAAGCCACCATTAAAACCATGCTTGGGTGTATATTTCACCGCCATTCTTTACCATTCGGTATCATCCTCCAAATTGGGGTGCCATGAATTTTTAACGTTTTTTAATGGGGGTTGAACCCTAGGGTCATGGTGATATCGGATGAGTAAACCCGTCTCTTCCTAGATGCATTGGGGGGGGTTCCATTGTCCAAAAGGAACACCTACTGTTGATGGACAAAATCCGTTTCGCACCACTTTGAAACCATGGTTGAAACCATTGTTGGCTGGTATTTACACCGGGAATCATCATAGGGTTTCCCAAGCGGTGCGAAATGGATTTTGTCCATCCACAGTATGAATCGAAGGGAACCACCCCCTTTCAGTGGACTCGGAATCTCGGCCTTGACAAATGCCCGAGCGCGGTGTCGAAACTGTCCGTGTTCGCTGACCGGGGGGCATCCCTGGAGGGAAACCAAGGGGAAAACCACGCGGTGTCCCCTGTTTTAAGACTCACACCCTTCTCAGCGTCTGTGATTGGGAGGCTACCCTTTGTGAATCATGAAGGCGAAAAGCAGGCAGCCCGGTTGAAAAAGCAGGCGAGTCTTCAAATCAAGCTTCCATCAGTGTACACCCAGGGAAACATGTTCATTGACATGGAACATAAACCAATCCCGACCCAAAACCAAAACCGACAATTGCTCCAAATGCGAAGGTTTTGGGGTCCTATCTTCGGTTAGCTGTGATTCCGGAGGTAAAAATCCTCAGCTGCTGGAAGCACCGGCCTAGGTAACTGGCCATTGTCGAGATGCTTCCCTTGGTTCCCCTTTTCGGGTGTGTCGTTCCTCGGGGACCCCCGAAAATGATGGGCTTCCTCTTGGTTTCCCTTTGAAAGGGAACAACATGGGGTACCCCAAACAAAGACACGCCCATACAGGCAACTGGATCCACCGCAAAATTTTCAAGATACATGCTGTGGCGGAATGTGTCAACATGTACAGGATGTCCTTCCAAAACCAGCCACTTGGTAGCACATCCCTTGGTACCTTCTGAGGTTGTGCCACCTTGGGCTCAAAGGGGCAAAGGTCAGCTCGCAAGGTCATGGAGCTGTGCCGAAACTCAGATCCAATGCGGCTGCTTCTCTTTTTGGCAGCTTCGTTGCTGCAAGGACCCCTCTGCAAGTGAACCACTTGTTGTGGGCTTAGTGGAAAACCCCTTGACTTCCCAAAAAGTCCAAGTCTAAAGATCCAACCCAATAGCAGCGACGGCCTTTTTTTTCCGGCAGGTGTGAGGTCTACTCTCAGTCAGGCATTCGTTGTGCCCAGCCGCCTGGTCGCCTTCTTGAAAGCGCGCGAAGACCGGCGAACGCGGATCGATATTTCCGGGAGACTGGCCAATAGAAAAGGAATCCTTTCTGGCAGGTTTTGTTGGCTTGGGGGCTGCAGAGGGATACCTTTTCTCAGGGGGGGTTTTGGGGAGGGCTCAAAAATTTTTGGGTTTTCCTGGAGTCTCCTTCTGACCCTTGAAAAATGGGGTCAGTACTCAAAAATGTTGGGGTCATTGACCCATTTTTTAAGGGTCAGGGAGACTCCAGGTTCCAAGGGCGGGCCTTGGGTTTCCGCTCGTTGCACCCTCGAATTGGTGGACTCCCTCGAATCGATCGAATTGGCCCAATGGAGCTTTTCAGTGGCCCATGCCAGCTTCTGTCTCTGAGCCGATCGGCTTCGTCAAGCGGATGAATCTTGGGAAGCCAGCTGCTTGTGGCCCTAGGATAACCAAATCGAACCTCTTCTGTGGTTGCCCTCTCCCAGACGATTCCATGGAAGCTCCCAGGACCCCGAAATGGAAGACTTGGCTCCATTTACAGAGGCCTTCTGGGAGCTTCCATGTTCGTCTAAGCCATGCTTTGGGAATCCGAATCCAGCAAAAAGGCAAACAGTGAAGTGAGTGGATGTGTCATAAGTATTCATATCGAGAATCATGTTTTCAAAACACCATGCTTAAGCGAAAGGACAAATGGCAAACAATTGTTTGAAGGGTTCGTAGAAGGGTTCTCCCTTCTGACAAACCTTTGTAAGTAGGTCTGGATACGGGTTAGAAAACAGATTGTCATCCCCAGAAATGCCTCTCCTGAATTACCCCTTCTCCTTGACATGTTTGTCTTCACTTCAGGCACGTTTCGGCCGAGCTGAAACTTTCCAAGCAACAGCCCGCAAGTTCAACAATGATACTGTGGATGGACGAATTCCTGCACCACTGTCAAACCATGGGAAACCTTTATTTGTTGGTATTGACGGGAAAATGGATAACTCCAGGGTTTCTTAGGTGGTGCGAAATAGATTTCGGCCATCCACAGTAATTATTTGAAGCAGTTTTCTGCTTCCTTGTCCACGAGCTAGCACGGTCCCACATCCGCCAAATGAGCGATCTACTTAATTCACTTTGCCTCCGCTGCGTCTCACGACTCTATGCGCTAAACAGGAAACATGTGTGACACTTAAAAAACACATAAACCACGGGATTTCCGGGCAGAGCTCCTTTCCCCCCCAGGAAAAGGCAGATGTATCCAAGATCCCCATCCCGAACCATCAGAAGGACTCAGAGAAGAAGGTAGCCAAGATCCAGGCCAGCTCAGAAGGGCGAGGATCGAAATCCCCGTGAAACCTGCACTTGAATTTTTCGGCTGACGTGAGCCGTTGAAGGGGTTCCCACCTAGAGTCTCCATGATCCCTAGAAAAATGAGCCATTACCCAAAAAATTGGGGTCTTTGACCCATTCTTAAAGGGTCTTGGAGACTCCAGGCACAAATGGGTTCCATCAAATGCTACGCGCACACACACACAGACTCACGCGCGCACACACACACAAACACACGCATGACGGTGTTTGTAGTGCAAGCCATCGGAACCCGTTTGTCAGAACCCCTTCTTCCACTGGGAAAACTGAAATATATCCGGTGGTGATAGCTTCCATTTAAATCCAAGGAGGGAAAACACAACAAATCTTCATTTCAGCAGATGGAAGCCTTTAGTCCCCTGAACCCGGCGCCTGCTTCGGCACGGGCGCAAAGCCCTTTGCCAGTTTCGGCAAAAAACTTCGGGACGCCGTCGCATCGTGGCGCTGGCGCTGCCAATTTGGCCAAACCCCTTTCAAAGATGCATTGGGCATTGGTACTGTTGGACGAAATCCATTTCGCACCACCTAAGAATCCTGGAATGATTTGATTCCCCCTGTAAATAAACCCTGGAATGATGATTCACCCTGTAACTAAATACCATCCAACAATGGTGTCCCATGGTTTCAAAGTGGTGCGAAACGGATTTCGTCCAATACCTGAGGATCTGCAAGTTGACCTTGCTGGTTGGCGACCCGAGTCGGGTTGATCAATACTCCATCTAGGCCTCCAAACGACCAAATATCACTGTTATATTCCCATTCTAGTGGGAATATCATATCATTTCAGTGGCTTTCCGACCAATGGTCATGCCATATAAAGGACCTTCTGATCAAGCCCCACATCTTCAGAAGGAATCAAGGGACCCTCATCGCCATCGCCAGCTTCAAACAAAAAACGGCCATGGTTCACTCGACCGTCGTGCGAAATCACCGCGTTCCTTGGTGTCAGACCGGGCCACCTTCAACGATATGTTCTACCATCGTACGGGAAGGGCCTGAACCAACCAAATACCCCTATACACACGAAAATTCAAGCCAACAATATGTGGTAATATCGCATGCAGGGCAGTTTGAGGGTTCAAATGGTTGTTTTAAGTTTACACCATTGTTGCCCCACAATCTGGATCCTCAAAATTCACAAACGCAGGAGTGGTTGCAACAGGTATTCTACCCAGATGCAGGCGCCTCAAAAGTAGGATGCGATCCCCAAAATGGTTGATTTCCTTTTGATGTCATTTTTCAACCCACCAAAAAGTGGTTCCCCAACAAAGAAGACACACCCAAACTAGCAATCTGCTACAGCTTGAGAAACCCTGAAGATTGGCTCCCGGGGTCCAAGTGGCTGTCCTTTTGGATTCCTTTAAGGTTGCTAGGCTAGGTCCTCCAGTAGAGAGGTTGGAGTAAGGGTACTTTTTTTTTTCTGTAGTCTACTTTCGCAGTGGACCCTCCCCCACTAGTGGGGACCTAAAAAGAAGGGTACCCTCAATTCCCTCAGGATTCACCCCGACTCTCGTTTCGTCAAACTAGATGAGGAAGATTCTTGAGCAACGGTGTAAAACTAAGCCACCCATTGCTTTCCTCACTTGCCCATTTCAAATGACACGGACAAAGATTTACCTTTTGGAACCTTGACTAAGAGTCGACTAAACCTGAAAAACCAAAAGGTCACAACGACTTTGGGCAAACTAAAGCTTCATGGTGCCTGGACCCCCAAAGAACCCCTTTTCTCTGCGTTTGGACGTTGTGATGGGGAGTCATTCGGCAAAGAAAAGGAATTGGTTCATAGGTGGTTTGATTCCTAGGGTACCCCTACTCCTAAAGTAGCCACTTTCTTTGGGGGAATTCTTTGGAAAAAAACATGGTTTTCCAAGGCAAATAGCTCCTTTTCTAGTAAAGGGTTGACATCATACCCTGAGAAAATGTGTATTGTGTGTGTAGGGGGTAAACACAAACACAAGCAATCGCCCAAGTGTCGGGAGCCTTTTACCTCGGAGAGGGAGGGTTCGTCGAGGACCCGGGCGGCTGCGCAGTGGGAAGGTTGGGAGTGGTGGTGGTGATTAGGTCGGCAGTGCTCTGCCACACGCGGTTCTTCACCAACAACTCGGTGACCTCAGGGGGAAAAAAACACAAACAGGTACACTCCCTCAGATTGACAGCCGGAAGCTCCAATTGGACGATCTTGTAAATGGGTCACCAAGTCTTTCAGAGGGGTCCGTTCGGAAGCTTCCAGGTTCACCTGAGAGTATGGTGCTTCCATTTTCGAGGCTCTTCCTTTGTGTTTGTGGTTAAGGAACACCCAGAGGAAGCCACAATATTGCGAGTCCCTAAAACACACACACACACACCCATAAGTGGATTGGCCAAAAGAAGTCCGAATCCCGTCACCGAAGGTGACGGCACTCAGGAAGTGAGTCAATGTGTTCCCCTCCGAAAATGATAAATCCCCACTAAAACCAGGGACACCCCCAAACTACGAATATCGGGTCAACAGTAAAGGCGTTCGTCGTCCTTCACTCGCAACTCCCCCGTTCTCTCGTGAGTCCGTGCGAACAAGCCATGCTCTGGAAGGCTTGAAAACTGATTGCGTCCCCTTTGGTCGCATTATCTTTGGGAAATAACGAATATGGTCTACGTACTACTTCAAGTAGTTAGTAAGCATGGTGAGATAACCCACACAAGCCTTGGATATAAGTCTCCGCTTAGTGGGTTGTAACCGGGTTTATAAACAGGCTTACTAACCACTTACTAAGTAAACTGCCCCTTGAAAAAGTACTGTGTTTTGTTTTGTTTGCTTCTCTTTGGGTTCTTGTTTTTTGTGGGCGGGTCATTATGCAAACATGTTTGTTGGGGACATGTTCTTCAACAACAACTCTGAGATCTTAGGCTTGACTCCCATTCTGCCTGTTCAAGTGAGGGTCCCTGGAAGTATTGCAACGAGGTGTACGAAGATCATGTCAAATGTCTGCGCAATGGACCGTTTGTTGAGCAACGCATTGCTTGTTGCTAACCATGTACACGCAAAGATGACCGTGGCGGTGACACGGGACTTCCCCGCTACAGTCGCCGCTTGGAACTCAACACGCAATGACGGCTGCATGACCTGTGAGATGAAGCTCTCGCTGTCTCACATGCACGCAATCAAGCCAAACACAGACACGCAACATTACACACACTACATGCGTACCAAGATCATATATGCTTGGCCCACATCTGTGGTACAAGGAAAGGAATATGTTTAGACTCTGTTCCACATTTATTTAGCCTACCCCCTACTCCAAATACCAACCTTTCTTTCAGGGTATGATAGGGTACAATGTTAAGCCTTGAGAAAAAAAGGAGGTATACCCTGGACAACTAGCTTTTCCATTGAATTCCCTTTAAGAAGCGGGCCTTAAAAGGCGGGTATTTGGACCCTTAAACAAAAATGTTTGGAGGAGGTCCACTGGCAGTCACCGAATGAATGACCGCTTCGACCGACACGCTGACCGACCAAGCCAGCCGACCAGCCCGTCAAGTAATCGGGCAGCCAGGTAGGCAAGCAAGCAAGCTGGAAAGAAGTCCTCGTCTTTTTGAGGGGCCTAGACTTGCTTGTGCTCTGTCGGGAACGTGGGAATGAACCCAGGGGTCCCCTCAAAAGAAACCACAAGGAATGGTTCATAAGGGTCATTCCATTTCTCATTCCCTGCATGTGGCGCACCAAAGTAAAGCAAATGGAGGAAACCGGCTTCAACCAGTTGCCCCTTGTTTGAGCCATGGACCCCCACTCTGCAAGTTTCTGCCTACCAAAAGGGTGGCAGAAAGGCAGAAGAAACGGGTCCAGTGGCTGAGGAGTCTTTGGACTTTGTTGCACTCAAGTACTTGGGGATGAGACACGCTTCTTACCCCGAAATCACTTGGGGTCAGGAGTATTCTGTTTCGAGGGTAAGGACAATCCTTTTCGGGGTTAGGAGGGTATGCGACTTGGGGATCCTCTGACACTGGTCCATTGACCTGTATAGGCAGCCGAAAGAAACCTTTGAAAACCAAAAAAAACATCGTTACCTATATGAGATTGCCTGAGGTCTGGGCTTGTATATAATATATATATATATATATGTAAGCTTAATAATTTTGATTGTCTCCCTTTGTTCCTGGACTTGGGTCACATTTTGGCTCTGGACCGTGGCAATGTGCACTATGGATGTGTGCGTGGCAAACCAAACTCAGCCAAACCAATCAAACGGTTTGGGGATGAAAGGAATCAAACTGTTCCATTCGGAATAGTATAGATAGCTCACGCCCTAAGTTCCAGGACCGCTGCTTTTTTTGGCAGACAAGTTTAGTCGTAAGACATTGTTGAAGTGCGACCAAGGGACCATTTTTTAGAGACAAAAGCAAAATGGCTGGTTTCCCACAGGACACCAGGGGCTGGCTGATTCAGTTTGTTGCACGGAAGGAATTGGGTTGTGGGAACCCAGAATGAACTTGGACTGAGTGAGTCTTACTTTTCAGGCGATGAACTTGGGAGAATCACGTGGCACGTCCTTTCTTTAGGAATCTGACCCTCCACAATGGCCTTGGTTTTCCTCTTGGTTGCCTTTACCCCCCCCCCACCAAAAAATAACAGACCGACATTCTAATCAACCATAACTTAGTTCATGGGTTGATATGGTCGAAATCTGGGGCTCACATATGGGTCTCCTCCAAAGATATTCGATTTTTGTGGGGTAGACACAACATGAACATAATCAGAACATATTATGTTCGGTGCACCCCAATGTGGGAGATTGGGCCTCTTGGGCGGACCTGGGGCTTGTGGTTTTGGAATACAATTTCCTTCGAGCTGATTGCTTGGTGAGCTGCTTGCTTGCTTGCTTGCTTGCTTGCTCGCGTATTTGCCTTGAACACAAGAGAATCCAATCAATATTCGAAGAGGGAGAGAAATCTCCGGGAAAAAAAACTGAAGAACCACTCGGCTTCGTTGTCGAAAGGTTGCAATTTACTAGTGGGGCTGACTAAAACTGCCACTTTGGAAGGTCCAAATAATTTGTGATATTCAGGAGCCCCAAAAACCAGGTCCAACGAACAATTCCACTAGTTTCAACCAAACGCTACAGTCCAAAAATCCGTGAGCAAACTCCTAGAACCGCCAGGGTCTATGAGCCTCCACATCTTCGCCTTTCCCCAGAAAGGTGAACTTCACTCAACCTGGAGTCTCCTTCTGACCCTTGAAAAATGGGGTCATTACCAAAATAGGGGTCACTGACCCATTTTTTAAAGGGGCAGGGAGGCTCCGGGAAGTGACTTTGCTGCCAGTCCCCTTCTCCATTTGCGTGTTCGAACCTTCAAAGAACGAACATCGTTTCCATATGTGAGCTCGATTCCCTTTACAACCAGCAGAAACTACAACCAAGATTCATTTCGGACAATGGAAGTTCTTCACTGGGCCTCACTTCTTGAGTAGACTGCCCAAAAACAGCTTGAACTTTTACTTATCATGTAGCATTTTGTCTTTCCAACCAGTTTTGTAGTCCATCAACTCGAGTGACTTCGAGAATCTCCGCTCTCGCGCTCCGCTCTCGAAACTCTCCCCGGCTTCGCGCCTGGAAAGGCTTGCCGTCGATGGTGACGCTGGTCAAGGCGTCCAAGTGCATGTCGATCTCCCAGGCCAGGCCCGCCCTCGTCTCGAAGTCGAAGCTGGGCTTCACCTACGTACGCATTGGTTCCGGCCCGGCCCGGCGAGCACGGCCGCGCGAAGCGCTGGATTTGGGCTGGGAGCTCGGGTGAGTGTGTGTTTTGCTTTTTCCTGCAAAACCGGAAGGAACACACCGGAGAAAGACAAACACAAAAAAACCAGGAGTTGTCACGACAAAATAAGACAATGGGGTCATGACCCAAAATATCTAGCGGTCACGACTCCATGTTTCAAGGCTTATGGAGACTCCCGGATGATTTAAAAAGGCTGCTCTTGCGAACATTGGGTTGTTTTGTTTTAAGGACAACCGAAAGGACAAAACCTAAGCACACCATGATCCTGGCAATTCTCATGGCACCCCTTCGACCTTCGGGGAGTCCTAGAGGATAATTCTAAGGGTTTCATGTTACTGGGCTGATCCCCCGCTAAAAGTGTCTGACTTGGAGTGGCTTAAACTTGGAAACTACCACAAAACACTAAGATCTACCTGGAGGCTCCTTCTGATCCTTGAAAAAAGGTTGGTCATTCCCCAAAATGTTGGGGTCATTGACCCATTTTTGATTCGGGTCATGGAGACTCCAGGTCAAAGGCTAAAAGGCGAAGGAACCGGATGGCTGGGAGCCACCAAGGAGCTAATGGGTGAAAAGGATAGCTGAAAGGAAACCACCCATTGTCGGGCCCTCCCCCTCGAACCTATGCACCATGTCCAAGCCTTGGCATGCCGAACATTCTTGGGGGGCAATTGGCTTGGCAAGTGCAAACCAAAAAAAAACGGAGGTGAATTCCTACGCATAGGCGAAACCATGTTGGGGGGTGTAAGTGCCTGGCTTGACATAGTGTTTCTCAACACTGAGGGGTCTCCAATTCAAAAGGCACCCCACAATTGCTGAATCTGCTTGGTGCTTTCCCAACAAACAATCTGCTTTCCTTTTGGTTTGCATTCAAGTCCACCAAGACGATGTACCTAATAGCTACCCCGACCCGGAGTCAACCCCAAAGCCATGTTTTCCTTTTTGGTGCGTTGGCGTCCGCACAAACCATGGAATAAACCCCAAAGAAGGATACGCACAAAAGGGTGCGTCAGGCGAGCGGTGTAGTAGCTATGAGTCTGCTAAGTGGGTTATCACCAGGTTTGCTAACCACTTACCAGAAGAACCCTGACCTTCAAAATGGGAAAACAGCGGCAGGTACCCTCATCCGCTCAAACAACTTTCTAAAGAAAGGTTCCCAGTGCCCGGACGTAGCCGGGAGGTAGGGTAACCTCAAAAAGATACGCCCGATCAAAGATACATTAGCCAAACACACACACACACATCCAACCTTTTTTTGGAGGTCCCCCATCCAAAAAACCACCAAGAGGCATCAACACAACAGACAAAACAACTTATTGGGAAGAAACAAACATGAAGGTCCCCTATCCAAAACAACAAAGGGACATCAAATCAACAAACAAAACAACTTTCTTTAAACAAAACAAAGTGTTTTCTTTGGGGGAAGCCGGGGTCCCTGGGGTTGCCCTGAAAAGAGGACACATACTCTGGATGGACGAAATCCTGCACCAGTTTGAAACGATGGGAACCCATTGTTGGTATTAGGGAAATCGAATCATTCCATGGTTTCTTGCGTGCGAAATGGATTTCGCAACCATCCAAAGTAGCGTCAAACGCTTCAAAGGGGCGAGGTGGGGCATGTTCTTGGACACCAGCGCGATCCAGGCCAGGCCCTCCCCCGACTCGGCGGGATCTGGAGCTTCTGAGGTGAGCCTAAGATTCGGTGAGCCGTTGGAGTCTCCTTCTGACCCTTGAACCATGGGGCCCATGACCCCATTATTTGGAGAATGACCCCATTTTTCATGGGTCATAGCGAATCCACGCAAAGCGAATAAGTCATTACCCCAACATTTTGGGGTCATTGACCCATGTTTAATGGGTCGTGGAGACTCCAGGTAGATCTCTCCTTCCATTTGCTTACTTGCGATAGGTGACAAATGAGTTGGCATGGTTCTGGGAAGGCCATTTTCAGGCCAACTCGGATGTTCCATTTTCTTAGCTGTTGGACAATTATTGACAAAATATGGGACCAACGAGGGAAACCATATGGACTCCAAGTTACGAAAGATACAAAGATATCTATAGTCTATAGGGGGACCAACCCCAACCAACCCCAACTGCCCTAGTTGCAACTACGGGTTGTACCCCACGTTGGTTAGCACGTTGGTTGAACATTCAAGTAAGCCACTTAGCCAAAGGACGTGAAAAATCTAGGGTTCACCTGATGGAAACATTTGACAACATATGGGACCAACCAAGAAAACCATATGGACCATCCAAGTTACCAAAACTATGAAGATATTTATAGGGGGACCAACCCCAACCAACCCCAATTACCCTATTTGTAGCCCACGGGTTGTACCCCACGTTGGTTAGCACGTTGGTCGAACATTCAAGCAAGCCACTTAGCCAAAGGACGTGAAAATACAGGGTTCACCTGTTGGACCCTTGACAAAATATGGACCAACCAGGGAAACCTTTTGGACCATCCAAGTTGGTAACGAACATCCGTAGGGTTCAAAGCACCACCCCAAAACGAGTACTTAAAGGGGCGATCGATTCGGTACCTGTGGCTTCTGTGGGTTAGAACCGTGGTTATTACCCACTAAGTACAATGACCCTTTAAGCCACCGACTTCCGGGTCCAGGTCCCTTTGAAAGGAAATGGCCTCCCCCGCCGAAACCCCGAAACCCCGAAACCGGTTCCATGATAATTTGATGGGAGGACATCTCTACTTATCTACTGAAATGGGAGTCAAAAACGGGTAACCCCAAAACGGCTTGTCCTCGTAAATGGACACATGGACACACAAATATGCGGTTTGCGGGTTGTTTGCTTTGACCCATACCCACCCTTAACTGGGGCGCCCCGCGATCAACATATGTCAGTAAGGGTTCCTACTAGAGGGTGCCCCCGTTTTTTCGGGCCGGGGGAACACACCCAGGTACTGACCTTCGGAGGTCCAGGGAAATGGCCCTTCTTGCGGTGCGATAAGCAGGGAATAAGACATAGGACCCCTAAAAACACACTCCTGGTGTTTTCCTAGGGGACCTCTGGGAACAGTCCCAAATTCCCTGAGCACCAGCAAGTTTGAGAAGAACATTGTTTCGGACCAGACAGGGCCAATCTATTCGGTACGCGAGGTACGTGATCATAAGCCTGGTGAAATAACGCACAAAGTCATGGTTATAAGTCTCTGTTCAGTGGGTTATATCCAGGATTTATAACCACGTACTAAGTATCCGATCGCCCCTTCAAGTAAAGGGACCCCCCGAACGTCGGGTTTCATAAGCCGAACGAAATAAGCAAATCCAACCAAACGAACTTAAACAAACTAACAAACAAGCAAATAAACAACAAATAAAACTGAGCAACCCCGCTGAAGCAAACAAACAAGGGCACAACCAATCAAGACATCTTTCAAAATACCGAATTCGACGTGCAAAATAAACACCAACACAAGGAACCATTCAACAACACAAACTTCCATGTGCCTTTACCCCCCCTGGAAAAAATAAAGCTATGTCCAGCAGTAACATCGACTCTCTTTAAAGCCAACAAGGGAAAACACACCAAAAAAACAATTCAGCGAATGAAGACAAACATACAAACAACACAAATAGCAAACAACCAGCTTCTTTTCAGTGCCCTCGATTCAAAAACACGTGAAGTGCCCTTCATTGAAGGGCACTAGAAATATGCTGGAACACATAAACACTGAAAACCAGCAACAACACAAAAACATCATTTAAAAAAAACCTAAAATAAACAAGTCCGAGGATCTCCAGGCTCGTGACGGGCATTTGCCACGCCCAGGACAAGGCGTTCTTGATACTCTCCTCGCGAGTGAACGAAACGCTGTTTGTTTTCAGGGGGCTTAAGCAAATGGAGGACTGTGGGTACCCACTTACCCCACCAATCCAAACCACCAAGCAAGGATTGTGCTTACCTGGAGTCTTCATGACCCTGAAAAAAAATGGGTCAATGCCCCCGCTATTTTGGATCATGACCCCATTCTTTAAGGGTCATGGAGACCTTCAGGTGGATGGAAATCGAAATCCGTTCGCACCACGGTCGATGAAACCATGGCTCAAACCATCACGTTGGTATTTACCTTGGGGAATCGAATCATTCCAGGGTTTGTTGGGTGCTGCAGAATTGCGTCCATCCACAGTAGAATATACTGGCCTACCAGCTTGTGTTTGTGGTATATGAGCCTCCCCGCCAAAATCCATCCAACTATGGATTTGGATCACCCCTCTTAATTTAAAACATGCCAGGCAATCAAGTAAGAGACTTCTCTCCAAGCCTTACCTTACACTCCATGTGTCTGTGTGTGTGTTGTTTCAGGGAACCCCTTTTCTTGGCCCGCCGGGATGCAGAGAAAGCATACTTCCACTAGTCTATCCTAAAATTGAGAATGGTTGTAGCGGAGACACCAGAAAAGTGAGTGCGTGTATGTCTGATTTTGGAGGGTACCATGTTTCTCCCAAAGGGAAACCAAAAAGACGTCTCAGGCATTATGGGAGTCGACGTGACCCCTCAACAATGACCCTGAAAAACAGTCTCGGTACCTCATACTTGCGGATTTGAAAGAACCAAACCGAAAACCAATATGAGGTTCCGCTTGGGACCCTCTGACAATTCCTGACACTTAGCTGTGGGTAGGTGACCCATCTTAGGATCCTGTCTTTGGAAGGGCCAATCTTAGGGGATCGGGTACCGAAGCCTGGTTACAAGCTACTTAAGAGACTTAGAACCATGGCTTTTGTGGCACATAACCATGGTTATTACCCACGTACTAAGTACCCTGCCCCTTTCAGTCAAAAACTTGCCAGCCGTGTCAAATCAAAATGGAATACGGAACCAAACAGCGCCCCTTCCTTTGGTATTGAATCGAACATCCGGACAAGGGCTGCCCCGGAAACAAAAAAAAAGAGGAAAGAACAAAAAACAAAAACAAGACTTCCGTTGACTTCTGATTCCATGATGGTTCTCAAGGTTTAGGCCTTGCAACCCCGATGATACTATGGATGGACAAACTCCATTTCGCACCACCGAAGCACCCTGGAATGATTCGATTCCCTTGTACATACCAACCAACGTTAGTTTCAACAATGCTTGCATTTTGTCGTGCGATTTCTGGGTTTCGGTTTCAACCATCCACAGTAATAAAACCGCCTACAAAACGGCCAATCGGGGCTCATTGCGCTCGAGGCTACCCCCGGCCGTGGAAAAAACTCAAAACAAAACACAACGACCCGAAAGCTCTGAACTAGGGAGCTACGACTGGGGTTCAGTGACAACCATTAAGACAATGGTTGGGTTCAGACTTCACCAATCCATTGTTTACTCTTCACCAGTGCCATCATCCATTTGGGTCCCTTTGATTGCCATGCCATTTTGTTCACGGGAAGCGGTTGAAGCCTGATACTTACAATCCCCCAAGCTGACCATTCTTGTGAAAGATATCGAGCAACCAATTTAAGTTAACACTGATTGCCTGCAAAATTCATGTCGACAGTGCCAGGACTGTGGCAAACCACCGACGGATCCGACAGCTGGAAAAGGACGAAAGTCCAAAAGGGCAGACGGGCCAAGAGGTAAGCTAAATCTGGAAGCGGGATAGCGGGTCTAGGGAAATCACGTTATATCCGAGGGTCATCACCTCTCCACACTCTACATGTGGGAACTATACCCTGAAACACAGGTGAGAAAGGTGCCCTCAAAACCACAAAAACACGGAGTGGGTCTAAGGGTTCGATGAAAACAAGTGTGTATTTGCGGACCCCTGGGTTGCTAAAATGGGGTCGGGGGAAGGGGTCCTAATTACTGCGAGACGACCCTTGGATGTTCGGTCAAGCAAGTAAGTTGATACTAGCCTAAGCTAAAACCGACAAACAAGGCTAACTCCACTGAGGGAGCAAATACGCGAAATTTAACTTATGTTGCTAACCACTTTCCAACTTGGCCGAACACCCTTGTAGTTCATCTGTAGCGCGACTCGACAAAAAGGGAAACCTCCTTTGCTGGACGTAGGATGAAGGATTGATTCTCACCCTCTACAGTTTCAAAGCAAAGTGCATCCGGCCTTAGCTTGTCACAGTTCCATTTGAACATTCGCCAAAAGGAAACTCACCGTAAATTGGGCGAACAGGTGATGTTTAACCCCCCCCCCCGGGGCAAATAGGGAACCCTGTCAACGTGGTGTTGTCTCCAAATAGGGGGAGCCGACAAGCAAAATGTTGCCTTTTGGCTTCCCTCAAAACCAAGAGGTTCAAACCACCAGAAAGACAATGGGGGTGCATATAAAATATAACCATCCTTGTTTGCCCAAGGATTGTCATCATTCAAATTGGCGAAGCCATTCTTTTCACGGGGGAACGATGGTGTTCGACTGATCTTCTCAAGTGCCCAGTGGCCATGGGAAGAAAAGGGGGCATTCTGTTTTGGTTGATCGAGGTTCAAGGCGAACCCTTCCAAACAAAACGAAGAAAAAAAAAGGGGGCGCCGCTAACCAAGCCTGGGCATAAACAACCAGCACAAGGGGAAACGAGCCTACAACAAAAATCCTGCTGGACTTTGTGTTTTTTCCCCGACAGTCCTCCAGCTTGGACTGGACGCCTGGCAGCCTAAGAAACACTCACGTGGAAAGCTGAGGGAAACCTAGGGAAACCTGGATAAACCTCCAGCAACACAACAAAAACAACCGAAAAGTTAGCTTTACAACCCTTGGTCGCAGCATTATTGTTGCTTTTTGCAGCCTAACAAAAATGAACAGAACCAGCAAAAACATACAAACACATGAAAGTTGTCAATAGTTGAACCCCATTCTTGGATCTGGTTGTTTAACAACCACTCGGATGCTCAGTGCTTCAGGGGAACCCGAATTTCATCGGCGTTCCAGGGCAGATGTAGCACTGTCTGCAGGATTGGGCTAGGGGAAGAATCAAATTGTCCCTTCAGCTGAGCCAAATGCATGAACTTAGAACTCAGTCATGCGACAGACACAGAACACAGACACACACACACACACACTCATTTACTCACTCGCCTCACCTCTCCTCACGTCACTTCACTTCACTTCACTTGACTTAACTTCACTTCACTTCACACACACACACACACCATCTCACACACCCACACGTACACGCCCACGCCCATGTCCACGCGCACGCACTCACGCACGCGCGGACGCACGGAGCTTGCGATGACATCTCACATCATGGAAGGCTGCAGTAAGGCCTCACTAAAGAACTCCGGCAAATCACCCTCCAACAGAAGATGCCTGACTCTGGTCTATATTGGGTGCTTCTCAAAATTGGGAACCCTGCCAGTAGCTGGTTTCCTTTTGGTTTGCCTTTTAAAAACAATGAAGGCCTCAAGTGGTTGGTTGTCTTCTGAGTTGCCTTTATCCCATGTTAAGCAAGGAGCATGGTGCAGCGGTGACACACTGCTATCGAAGCAGGCGGTTGCATGACGTTTCTCCAAGGGTTCTGGTTTGGAGTTGTGTTACAAATCCAGTGGCACAGTGTCAACATGATTTTTCTTGGAGGGATCCTTTTCAAAGCAACCAACATAACTGAACGGGGTTGTGGGATCAAGGGGATTATCCCCACTTCTGTGATGCAAGGGAATCCCCGTTTCTATGATCAAATTACTGTTGTATCACAGAAGTGGTCATTCCCCACAGCCCTGCACCGACTCTCCGTTTTCCCACCTTTGGGATTCTGAGATGTTTGATCTTCGCTTAGCTTCGCGGGTCTTGCAGAATCCCTTTTTCGGATGGTTTCAGAATCACCCACATCTGTGTCTGTGTGTCTTTTTTTGGCGGGGTTGCGTGCAAAGGGACATCAACAAGGACAACCGCTATGTTTGAGGTCTCCCTATTTTGATAAGCTAAACCAACCTTTTCTGATAAGCTAAACCAACTTTTCCTGATGTCCTTTAAGCTCATCAGTTGGTTTAGCTGATCAGGGCTGACAAGCTAAACCAACTTTTCTGCCCTCCCCGACTCCCACCCCCGACGACTGGATCCGATGAAAATAGACCAAATAAGATCATAGCTCATGGGTCATGTGTCGGTTCTTGCGAGGGTCAGAGCAACCTTGAACCATTTGGGGATGTTTTCTGCCAGCTCCACCCAAATTTTAGCCATACCTGCCACTTGTCTCAACGGGAAATGGAACAGTTAGTGAGTTCCCCCATGTGCCTCCCAACTGCACTATACACTAATGAACATGTTGAACGAATCTCATATGAGTGTGTAGTAAAACACGGGTGCCAGAGAAGGTTGGTGTCCCTTTCCGCTTCCCTTGAAATCAACCCCAAAACCCAGCCCCAAGTGGCCATGGCAAAAAAAAAAAAAACGGCCCTCTTCTTTGTGGTAGTCGATATTAAAGGGAGCCCCCCTTCCAAGAAAAGCACAGGGGGCACCACTGGGTGTCTGAGAAAACAGGTACCAGGAGTCTCCATGACCCCTAGAAAAAGGCGTCATGACCCCATAAGTTGGGGTAATGACCTCATTTTTGTAAGGGTCATGGAGACTCTAGGTACCCTCCAAAAAACAGCTTCCTCATTTGCAGTATACACTCGACAAGTTCACTTGCAGCAACGAGGCTGGAACTTCTCGATTTGGCTGACGCGGACTTCCAAGTCGGCCGTCAGCGCCAAGCAGTTCAGGTTGTTGGTAGTGCAGTAATTCCTGTTCAGCAAGGGGTCCACAGGATCATTACACCCTCCCACCAATTAACATTTTCCTTTCAAAGGGACCATTCCCCGAACGTCAGGTTCCCTCTTCATGGCTGGGAGGGCATGTCTTTTTGAGAAGCCATCACTGGGAAGCTCACGAAGCAAGGCCCGCTTTTCGGTCAGGTTCTTGCAGCAAGCCAAAGGCTTCGGGTCTTCAAGTGGGCAACTCCTTGAGTGGGAAGGCGCAAAACATTTATTCGGAATGCCCAGGGGTAGCTACCCGGAGTGTCCGTCTGACCCTTTAAACATAGGTCCATGGCCCCATTATTTTAGGCAATGACCAACCATTTGTAAAGGGTCATGGAGACTCTAGCTACGGTTTACAAAGGGGGGGCGGGGAGTCATGTTCAACATGACTCCAACCAAAAGCTCGAGGAAGATCCAAAGCCAAGATGCCTGGCCCTGCAGTTATATTCTGGATGAGCCAGGTTGAAGACATACCTCGGGCAATCAGAAATACACCAGAGTCCAAATAGACGAAAACCATCGCCGGAAGTGTTAAAACTGTCAAAACAGCCAGTGCTTCAGCCGCATGTGCTGGGATGCTTGCAGGAGATGTGGTTTCTGACCTGTCCTGATTTATCCGGGAAACAAAACGGACGGATCCGAAACCTGGATTTGTTGGTCCTGAAATTTGCCGGACAACCGGACGGCCAACGGATGCGGCGCTGGAATAATTTCGAGACAAAAGGCAGGCGCCAGGCGCAGGCCTGAGATTCCCTTGAAGAGAATTCACGTGGAGTCCATTGCTGGGTTGCGAAATTTGCGAAGCCCTGAAAAAAGTAGTTTTTTTTTTTTAGCTTTTAGTGGTTTAATGAGGACAACTTAAATTAGTTGGCAACAAGTGATTCAGTCCTAACATCCCTTGGCAAAATGCACCAAAGAGTGAAAATGACAATTTTGGAGGTTCCTCGAAACCTGGCGGTTGGGACCAAACAGCCTGGCACGCCAAGAGTACCCCGTGCACGGAACACGTCGATCCAAATTATTTGGACTTGGGTGTGTGATAAAATCGGCGGACCCAGCAAACGTGGTGGCTTGGATTCCCTCTGCTTGGTGGCTTGGATTTGTGGTTCGAAGGTTTGGGGGTGGTGTCCCCTTTAATTCCCACGAGAACCAGGAGTTCAAATCAAATCCCCAAACCACCAATCCAAACCACCAACTAAGGCTTGCCCACCCCGAGAAAACCAATGGGACGCTTCACTGTCGTTGGCATGTGTTTGTTTTTGTTTGTGTGTTTTCCAACAATGGTTCTGTTCATTTTAGTAGGGGCTACCAAAAAAACAGTTTCTTTTTCTTTTTTGCCATGTAAAGGAGGCCCAAGCCGAAGTAATCGAAACTGAAATCCATTGATTGTCTAATTCAAATGACAAAATTATGGACCCCATCTACCCTGAAAGGGAATCCACCAGCCATGATGTTGGGTTATATCCCATTTCCCCCTGAAGTACCTAAGGATGTACAACCTGATTCCTGAGAGATCCTCTGCATTTGACCCCAACGGTTTCCATAAGTCCACGGGTACCTTTTGGATGGATGGTTTCCTCGCGGTCGTCATTTGGTACCTCCGAAACCTCCCATCGATTGGAATTCTCCGGGCATTGGACACCCTCACGCCCCGGCGGACAAAAAGGAGGGCAGAGAGAGGTCCACCTGAAGCCTCCTTCTGACCCTTAAAAAATGGTAGGTCATTATCCAAAATAATGGGGTCATTCACCCTTTTTTAAGGGTCATGGAGACTGCAGGCAGTTATGGATTCCCTCAACCAACCGAGGAAAATCAACATCGATCGGATTGCCAGTTGCTTTTTTTCCCCATGCACTTTACCCCAAAAACCCGCAGTGACGGCGAAAAAAAAAAAACTGGGCTATCTAGGCAAGATTAATTTCAGCCAATGGAAGCCTAGGAGCAGGCCCCTTGTTGGACAATTCTGGGCCCCAACAAACCCATGTTATGTGTTTGTTCGATTTTTGTGGGCCATTCCGGCAGAAGAAAGCGGTCAACAACAAGGTCCAGGATGACATGTGTCTCTTCTTCGGGGAGCCTCAAAGTTGTGGTTCTCCTTTTGGCTTCCCTTTAAAAACTAACTGGAGTCTCCATGACCGCTTAAAAATGGGTTCATGACCTCATTGTTTTGGGTAATGATCTTATTTTTTAGGCGTCATGGCGACTCCAGGTATCCCAACAAGGGTTCCCCCCCCACAAAGAGAAAAGAAACATCCACAGCCAAGGCGCTTCCCTTTGAACAACTATTGCAACAAGGGTTCTCCCACACCCCCTCCCCCCAAAAAAAAACAATCAAAAACATCCATCCCCCCCCCCAAAAAAAAACAAAGGAAACAAACATCCACCCCCCCCGCCCCCGAGGAAAAAAACAACACCTCCGCATCTCAGGCCGCTTTGGGTCCGATTTTTTCCGGCCACGGGGCTCCCAGGTGTCACAGGACTTGGTGAAGTCCGTGCTCGGCGAACAGGCATCCGAATACACCTGGCACCGAACCGAGCCACAAACATGGGCTAGGTCCTCCAGATTTGAGAGGTTAGAATAAGGTTACCCGATTTTTTTTGTGGACTTCTGTTTTAGAAGGGGAACCCTCCCAACCAAAAAAGGGGCAAAAGGGCACTGGGGGACCTAGTGGGTAACCTGAACAGGAAAATCTTGGTGCTGGGTCTGGAAAATTCGACACCAGAACTCATCGCCATTGGGTCTGGGGAAAAAGAAGCATATGGGCTCATCCGGGAACCCCCGGGAACTTCGCGAACATGACACCGAAACAAAAAACGGGCTACCCAGTAGGTAGCCGGATGACACCATGAGTTCAAACTTAGAGGCCAAAGTCCAGGTAGCGACCCACGCAAGATCACGCCGTGGGTGAATTGTTGATATTGCCTTCTCTGTGATACCAAAGAGGGCCATGATGACTACACAATCAGAATGAAGGGAACTGCTTGCCAAGGTTGAGCTGCCCCATTGCATTAAGAAAGTAGGCTCCTCCCAAACGTGGTCTGATTCCCCCACCTTTGGTGTGGCCGCTTTTAGGAACGGGCAAGCCGCACAACAACTAACCAGCTCAGATGCCCCCCATGGATTTCCACCGGGAAAAAAAGAAGACGGCATCTGTTTTGGTCGGTTGAAAGGCCAACCCTTCCCAAAAAAAACAACGAAAAACTGGCCTCATGGTGTTACCATCAAAGTCAACCCCCCAAATGAGATGAGTCAAAGGGAAAAAAACCACCGCTCCCATGTTCTCACTTGGATAACCCCCAGAACCCATAAAAAAAAAAAAAGCATGACCCCAGCAGAACGGGCGGAGTCCACTGGGCCAAAAAATCTTTCGGTTCCACTCGCGCGGCCTTTTGGGTTTCGAGAAACCTCTCCTGCCTTCCCGGGCGGAAGGTCGTCGCACCTCGGAGCCAACATGCGGCAACGAAGATGGATGTGTTGGTTTTCTGGGGGGGATTCAGTGTACATATGTAGATATATACACGGATATATCTATGTGGTAATATAGATGTGTACATATATATATATATATATAAATGTATGCATGTCAACTTCTAGTAACTTAGTTGGAAAACTACAACTACCACTAGACCCTAAATTTGGTTGCTGTGGACTCTTCTGCAAAAGTTGAACATGTTTTGTTCTGGAAGCAAAAAGTTAAAGTCTACAGATCCGCTAGCCCTTTTTGCGATCAAGCCAAACGAGAAACACTTCAGGAACCGGATGGCTGAGAACCACCAAACCCTCCCTATCAGACCACCAGGCTGAGAGCAGAGACGGGATTCCAAGTCTTTCAGGCGGATAGCCGCCAACAAACACATGTTGTGTATTGTTCAATTCGCCGTTGCAAGCCGCGAACTTTGAAGCGGCCATCGGAGATCCTCTGCAGAACTTCAGTGGTTGACTATAAGACATCCTCTGTTATGTGCTGGAGCTCACGTTGCTCGTGCAATAGCCGTTGACCAGCGTGCAGGTCAACATCCCAGCTAGGTCAAGCCAAACCAAGGTCAGGTATACTCTGTGGCTATTACCCCCAGCGCAAGAAAAAATACGTGTTGTTGGTTAGTTCCACGTTTGACTCCCGGCTCGAACAATTACAAAGGTAAGCCCCATCAACACCGAGTCTGAGCAGCACAACAAACATGGTTCCCTGGCGCAAGCAAGCGAGCGAACCAACAAAACAAACAAAACCACAAAACCAACAAACCAACCAACCAACCAGTCAGCCAGCCAGCCAACCAGCCAACCAACCAAAAACACAAGAAAACAAACCAAGCAAACAAGCAAACACAAAGAAATAAAAAGAACAAAACATGGAAACAAAAACAAGGAAAAACAACAAGCAATCAAACAAAACAAACAAACAAAGCTTACCTTTCGCGGACACAAACGCCTGTCGTGCTACGGTCCTCGACAGTATATGATCAACTCCCTTATAGAATGGCAATGTATAAGTTTGGCCCGCAAAAACAAAAAAAGGTTCAAACAAAACAGTCTGGTTCTGTTCTGCTTCACATTTAGCCTAGTTAAGAATGAACAATATCATTGGAGGAGAACCCACTTGAAGGAGCAGGGTGCTTAGTAAGTGGTTCGTAAGCCTGGCTATAGCCCGGTTATTGTGAGGGGACCAACCCCAGCCCAAGTTAGAACCATGTTTGCCACCTACTTGCTAAGTTGGTTGAACATCCAAGTCGATCCCGTGGACCGATTCATCGCCGGTTGCTTGGGCCCCTCCGGACCCTCCGGACTCTGGCCCCTCCGAGCTTCCCAGCTGGTGGGCTGCCCAGGTCCAAATGCAGGTGGCCGGAAGCTCCACCTCCGAGTAGTTGCAACCCACGGTGGCGCTGAAGCGAGGGCAATTGGCTACGCTCACGGTGCTGCCTGCTTTCACCTGTCGGGCATGGCCGGCATGGCGCCCCCGGAGAAAGGGGGAGGACTCTTCTGCGATTTGGAGGGTCCCAATTTCATGGGGGACTGGTCACTTGCCTTAGAATGCGGGCAAACAACTGGTTAAACTTTCGGAACCTTGACTGGGGGTAGTAAACCCCCCTAGGCCGGGAATTGAGATCCAGTCAAACTGAGTTTCCATTTGATTTCGTACGGAGCAAATCAAGGAAAACCAACGGGTTAAAATGTTGGTTCGCTTTGGGCATGGGGTCGGCTCAAACTGGGCAGACCAAAATGAGTGCCAACCTAAGTCGGCCGTCTGGATTGGCGGATTGACTTGAACCGGCTCATGACGCATGGGAAACCTCTCACCTCCATCGCTACATTTTTCGCGGCCAAAACACTTCTATTCTGCAGACTGCGCGGATCTCTTGTGGGCACAACCGCCTAGAGTGCTCTGGTCCTCCACAGTGTAAGTACACGGACGCTTGAATCAACTCCCAAGCGTCAAAACAGGGGGGCCAAACAAATTGTCCTTGTGGTTTCTTTCTGGCGGAAACTACCCCAGCACTTGGCCTACACAACAAGGGCTATGCGTTTCTATGCGTTTCTTGTCTGACTCTATTCCGTATGATAAGCACACCCCAGTCGCTCAGTTGAGTGTTCTAAGCCCAGCTGCGGCATCCCTTTCGCGAAGGCTTCCGCGGAGCGCAATCGCGACAAGTTCCGTTCGCGAGAGGTTGTGATAAGGGAATCGTTTCTGCGTTGCTTTCGCGGGTTGAGAAGCCCTGGAAGTGATGATTCCCCTGCAAATACCAACAAACAAGGGTTCAACCATGATTTCAAAGTGGTGCCAAATTGAGTTCGCAACCATCCACAGTACCAATCTAATCATCTTGAACCCAGACTAAACCTGGCAGAATAGCAGGGGTTGCCCCTCAAATTGTAAACCCCTAAAGGGCGCCCCTATGTGGGGGGGGAACAATACCTTAGGCTCCTCATCTTCAAAAGTCCGAGGGTCTCACAATAACCTTCTGCCTGGAGTTTCCATGACCCTTCAAACATGGGTGAATGACCCCATTATTTGAGCAATGACCAACTGCTTTTTAAGGGTCATGAAGACTGTAGGTGGAAACCAATCGTTGACTTGGTGCTTCTTTGATCCCTTAAAAGTTGAGAACTTCTAGAGGAAAATGCCGCAAAAGCCTCTACAGGGAGTGGCAGGAATAAATTGGATAGGTGGACTGCATTAACCCCAAACAAACAAACAAAACACAACACACACACACAGAAAGAGAGAAAAACAACAACAATAATACCCATAGTTACATGCTGGTTTCTATGTGGGATGTGCTTTGAACATGTAGGCTACTCAGCACCCCACTGAACTCCTAAGTGGGTTTCACTTACAAAGTACCTTGCCCCTCTAACTAGGTCAGTAGGGTAACCCTCCCCCAAAAAAGGGGAGAGAAGGGCAATACCTGGGGACCTAGCTAAGTAGGGAAGCCTGTGTACACATCGATCCGACGTTTTCTTGCATCCCGATCCGGTCCTCCTTGGGAAGGTTCCGGGTAAGAGCCGTCGGGGCGGTGATGCAGGTACGAGCGCCGTCCTCGTTCCTCGGGTCATACCCCCAAAAGAACGTGAAATGGTCCCCCTAAATTCATGGGGGCTGGGGGGAGGGAGGGGAGGGGGAGGGAGACAAATTAAGCCCTTATTCAGCCCTTAACAAGGCCTTCAGGAAATATTTGGGCTCCCTCCCTCCCCCCTCCCTTTCAGCCATGACAAATGGCCATGGGTTGCATAACCTATGGCGATCCCATTTTGGGGTGGATGAACATCCATTTGCCACCAGGCGTTGATGTTTTCCAGGCCTCGGGGTTTTGACCCACAGCCTGATCAACAAGGGGTCTCTCCTGAAAGGAGGCACACGCATACACAGTTTGCCGCAAAAAAAAAGCAAAGCACCTGCAAAAAGTGACCAGGCGTTGCTGCTTAAAAGGGTAAGAAAGGAATCTCGCTGGGTGAAACTTCCCCAAAATTAACAACTTGCAGCGCCTCCCGCATTTCTCCTTAAACATTAACCCTACCAAGGGAAGCTCAAGGTTGATTTCGGATTTGAACAAGCGCCCTAGTCCCTGAGAAAAACCACCCCTGATTCGTGCTGTCCTCGGATTAATCCGAAGTTGACATCCCACTCCGAATTCCATCTTGAAGCCAAGAAAGCAAGCCCAAAGATGTGACACAACCCACCCTCCAGGCTCTCAAGTAAGCTTTTGGCCCGTTTTTGCCTCTGCAAGGTTTCCCGAAATCACCAAGCCAAGGGTCCCGATTTACCTTGTTGGTGGTCTCAAACATCACCATTTAAGATGCCACAGATGCCGAAAGGACCCTGAAATAAATGGTCAACCTTATGGGGCCACTAAAAATTGCAGGAACACCAAAAGGTCAAAAGGTCGCTTCGCTTACGTAGGACAAGTGAGCCTCTGAACAGATCCTTCGCCTGAAATGCGATGCCGGAGTGCTGGGGTGACAGGACCTGCCCCTCAGAGCAAACGTCGTAGTTCCCGTTTGCCATGGATGCCCAGGCGAAGTTCCTGAGCAAGACTCAACAAGCGCCGTGCGCGCGCGTTGTTTTGTTTGCTTGCTCCCTCCGCTTTTGGCGAGCAAAAGCTCCTGGTCGACCTCTTGTATGGACAAGCCAGTGAATTATTCCTGTAATCATGATTAAGTTTGGTTTTGAAGTACCCCCCCAACTCCCGATTCTAATTCTGTAGGCCCGAATATCCACCAAAAAACCCTTCCCAAGTTCAAAAACAAATCAAGCCGCCGGACGTCAAAAGGATGAGGGTGAAACACTCTGAGCCACATTCCAACAGATTTGCCAGCTGTAGCGCAGACAGGTCTTTAAGCACTGGCCCACTATTCTTCTAGCCCAAATTGCTCGAAGACTATGTGGGTGTGGCTCAAAATTAAACAGGAGGGGTTACGCAGGCTTTGGTCCATGTTTCCACTTACCAGGGTTCCATTTTGGTACCGTTTCTTTTTGAGCCACAGCCATGTGGCTATTGCCCCCTGCGCAAAAGTATACTGTCTGCTTCCCGCATCGCAACCGCAGCCAGCTAAAAGCGAACTACGAGCTTCAGGAAGTGAGAAGATGGACGATGCCCGAGCGGTGGCTTCACAAGGAGCAAAAAGAGAAACTAAAGACGATGGTTGAAAAGAATGGGGAATCAACCCTTCGACTTGTTGGTTTCCTTCTAAAATCACAGGAAAACCAAGGGATACCACCCCCCCCGTGTCCTTAGCTAGAGTCTCCCTCTGACCCTTTAACAATGGTTGGTCATTACCCAAAATTATGGTTGGGTGATGACCCCTTTTTCTAGGGGTCATGGAGACTCCAGGTACTAAAGACAGTGCCAAGCTCCAGGCACAAAAGCCACAAGCCCGCAGCCGCATCGCGCATTAAATCAAGCCGCCAGGACAAAGCAACTCATTATGCAGAAGGATGGGGGGGTGTCAAGACAGGAAGAGGTAAGTGGGTAGATATGTGGTGCCATTGGCGCATGTACAGTACTTGTCAAGAAGAATCAAATACCTTAGTCCCATGAGGGAAGTAAGGTCGAGACAGGAAACCCTGGACTTGGAGTCCTTGGCCAAACCTGATTTTTTATCTTTTTGGGTACAATCCAAAGGAAGGCGCTCAGCCCCAGTCAGAGGGCGTAAAGATGCCGAGAATAAAGCGACTTCAGCCAGAGAGCGGAACTCCAAGATCGCGGTGCAAGGAACACCGAGCAAAAGTGATGGTAGGTACCATCATGGGGGCTTGGGGGGAAGGAGAGGCGGGAGGGAGCCCAAATAAGCCCTATAGGGGTTATTTGGGCTCCCTCCCGGCACCCCATGAGTACCAGATAAGGGATCCCTAATTTTTGGTACGTCGAAATGAACACATCGAAGCTCAACCCACACTTCAGCTTTCGGGATGGCATGTCAATTGCGTTGCGCCCTTGATTTGTTCAAGCGCTTGAATGCGCCTTGATATCTGGGCTGCCCGTTTTCTGATCCCCCGCTGAAAGTGACTAACTTTTAGTGGGTTAAATGGAAAGTATCACTAAAGACTAAAAGGCTAAACTGCTAATGTCTGCTGGTGTATGCGGAACCACACATGTTCCAGAATCATTCAAAGTTCAAGATTCAACCCAATAACATTCAAGTGTACCCCCAAACCATTACCTTTAACATTTAGGGGCTCACTAAGGGTCACCTCTGAACTGTGCAAAGCATCAGGACCGAGAACACCGCACACCAAAGCTGAAAAATCAAGTAAGGGCACCACTGTTTCGGGCAAAGATTCAAGTAACTCACCAAATCCCACCAAACAAAGAGCTTGATATCTTCTAGTCTTCCCTCAAAATCTAACCAAATCTCACCAAATCCCACCAAACAAAGAGTTTGATATCTTCTAGTCTTCCCTCAAGGTGGTTTGATATATCTTGGTCCCCCGACAAAGCGGGAGGGTGCGAGGCAAATGATCTCAAGCTGTGTGCTTTCTTCTCCAGGGAGCCCACCGAAGCCCCAAGCAGAATCCTAAACGAACAAACAACTAAACACACAAGCATCGACCCCCTTATATATATATATATATACATGTGTTTTTGTTGTGTGTGTGCTTTTTTTTATTATATTAAAGAAAAGAAAAAGCAAAGGTGTTATTGAAATCTTTGAGGCAGCGAGCCCCAGTGAAGCAGCACTCCAGTGAGGCAACGAGGCGGTTTTTGTTTTTTAGTAGTAGCACCCCAGCGAGGCAACGACCGTCCCCCCATTTGGAGAAGAAAAAAAGGAAACCAAGCCTCAAAGCAAGCCAAGGCTCAAGACGCGGCTTTTCTAGGAACCCATCCCACCAAAAGCAACCCTAAATGTGGAAACTAGGACCCGTGTCAGGTGATGTCTAAACCTACTACACAGGTACCTCCCACCCAAACATGGAACCGCGCGGAGGGTCCCTGGCGGACTTTCTTTTTAACAAGGGACTTTCGGGTGGGTTTCATGTCAAGGCAGACCAAAGGAACCGAAATATACCCCCGGGCTTGAAACGATTGAAACTATGGGTTCCACTGGGAAGTGGCGCTGTTTGCCTATGGGTCAGCTAAACCGGCCCCACGACCATTCTACTGGGGCCTCCGATCTGCTAAAAGTTGAAGGTTTAGTGGGTTAAATGGACCCCCCCTAAACTTCTAGAAGCTACATGGACTGGACAGCTGGGAACAACCAAGTTTCATGGGAATTGGTTGAACTGTACAGGTGAATGGACCTGAGTAAGGCTCATAAACTCATAGTTTCCTTCGGAGACTTACTATCATGGCTTTTACCCACTTTCCTGACGTACCTAATCGATCGGGCCAGGCTCAAGACGTGTTTTTCAAAAGAGCCCACCAAATTCCCCATCACAAGCAATCATATATTAACAATCAAGGTACCCCCTTCAACAAACCAACAAAGACGACCCCGAGCACGTTCTGTTTTGTTCTATAAAACAAAAGAACTGAAAACAAACACCGAGCATGCCCAACAAAAAGGACGCCCATGCCTCGAGACGCGTTTACTCACTTGCCCAAAGGACCTGGAAATAAAAGGTTGACCTTTTGGGACCTTTACCAAAAATGGACCAAATCAGGGAAACCAAAAGGTTAAAAGGTCGGCTTTGGGAAAGTGAGTTTAGAGCCAAGGCTCAAGACGTGTTTTTTCTTCAAGGTGGTGTAGTAGGAGGAGTTCTGAGAGGTCCCGCCGTGCACGGATGAGTTGAAGCGGGCGCCGTAGTACTTCTGCAGGTACCAGTCCTCTACGGTGGAGCCACCTGGCTGTGGTTGTCAAGACCAATGGGATCCCATTTTGGTTGGTAGGTCAATTCACCGCCCATTTTAGAACCTATTTTAGTGGGGATTGGGATGTTCACTGGGGGTACTGGGGGTACGATTTGGCTTTTGACCCATACCCACCTGGAAACGAGCTGGAGCAGTCGCAGTCCCGGTTTTGGTGAACATAATCTACACTTCCATTTGGTTAAGAACCCTGGAAAGATTGAAAATATCACCAGTAGAAGCACAACAGCCATGATGTTTTGGTAAAAAAGCCCACACAATTGCATTTGTTTAGTCTCGGTGGTTGTTGTAACCAGGCGGTAAGGTAAGCCCTCCCCTTTTCACATGGCACCGGACTTTTGGTCCCTCAAAGAGGAACTTGATCTTCCAGGTACGCTTCCTCAGGTGCCATGTTAGTGGGAGGGAGGGTACCTGTTTTTGGCTGCTGGGAACTCACCTCGTGCGGTATTCGCTGGGCGTCGTTATTCCCCCGATAGCTGAAAGCTGGTGCTGGGGGGGCGTGCAGTTTGAGGTGCTGATGGCAGTGCGGGCGCATCTTTTCAAGATTGACGGAAGGGCGCTAGGGGGCATGCAGTTTGGGGTGCTGGCGCAGGTGCTGTTTTGGGGGACTGTAGGGTGCAGGGGGGAATGCAGCTTGGGGTGCTGGTGCTGATGGTGCTGTGGAATACTGTTTGCGGGGAAGCTTTTTGCGGGGAGCTGTTTGAGGTGCTGGTGACGGCGCGGGCGCACTTTCGCGATATTGAAGAACGCGTGCTATCGAGCGTGTTTGTATCTTGATGGTAGGGTGCAAGGGGGCATGCAGTTTGAGGGGCTGGTGCAGGTGGTGTTTTGGTAACGAGGGGACAGCGATTTGCGAGATTGCTGGGCGGGCGTGCTGATGTAGGTGCTGTTTTGGGGTGCTGTTTCAGGCGCTGTTTTCGTGTTTTGGGGTGCTGTTTCAGGCGCTGTTTGAGGTGCTGGAGCGGGTGGGGTGCGGCCAGTTTGACGTGGCGCAGGTCGTGTTTTGGGATGTGGGGGTTGTTTGGTGTGGGGACGGCGAGGGAGCTGTTTGGGCCGCTGTTCGGGGTGCTGGTGGAGGCGCTGGTGCACAAACTTTGGCAGTTTTCCGCTATCTGGGGGTCTATGCTCGTGTATCGTTTTGTTTAAGCGTTCGGTAAATGGTCTGCTTTAAATAAACATGGTCCAAACCAGGACACGAACGTCAGGTTCCGTGTTGTTTGAACCCACCTCGTGTTCTTGGGGGTACCCGTTGTTTGTTCTGGAAAACGGCTTGGATTTCACCTGTTCTTCCTTGTGTTAGTTCGTTGTTTGTCACATTTTAGTACTCTTTTAAATGTGCTACACGGATGGATCCACAAAAACCATCTAGAGTTTTTGGAATAACAACCCGGTGGGGCTAAGTTGCACCAAACAGCCGACGCATCTAAGACGCTACGCATTGCCCGAAGAGCCACAACCCCTCCAACAAGCCTTATGTTTTTTCCCACCTGCAAAACTGGGGTTCCCAATAGTTCCCACCGAAAACAAAAAAACATCACCCCGAGCCCAGTGGACCCATTTACCTGTATAGTAGGGAACCATTCGGAAACCACCGATTTCAAATGGAAACTAGCAGATTACCCACCGTCTGGCCTTGACTAGGTTCCAGTTCAGAGGTTAGAATAAGGCTACCAACTTTTTTCTGTAGCCTATTTCAGTAGGGAAACCCTCCCAACCAAAAAAGTTGGTGAGACAGCGCACCTAGCTGGGGGACCTATTTGATCCGAATGGGTGAAAAGCCGATTCCCAGTAAACTTGCTGGGTTCTTAGGCCAATCTGAAGACAGGCCTCTTCGGCGCTTTGGGGAAGACAAGTGCTTTCGCCCCCCCCCCCAAAAAAGATGAGGTTGCTTCCACAGGGCAACAAAAACAGCTCGCCCCTGGGCGCCAAAGTGAGATGTGGTTCAACCGACTTTTGGAGGCAAACCTAAATTTGGTTAAGTCCCCTGGAAAAAATAGTAATCTGTCCAGTAGTGATAATTGCCCGTTCAAACCAACAAGGGCAAACATAAAGTATTCTGAAGAAAATTGAAGATCAAGTGAAACAAACTTACCCTCATCGTAACGACTATCACCTCTTCCCTGATGAAAAAAAAACATGTCCGCCAGTGGGGCAAAGGCGCAGCTGTCATACCAGGGGTCTCCCCCCCAGCTGGTGGGCTCGATGACCACCGCCACGTTGTTCGGGGCTCCCCCGGAGAAACTGAAGTCCTCCCGATCCGGCGCTCGGTGTGCGTTTTTCCCGGAAGCATTGCGAAGGGTTCTTCTTCTAAAAGCGGCTGCCAACTTCACCTGCCAACTTCTCATGCCAACTTGTCGAGAGTTACTTCACCTGCCAACTTCTCATGCCAACTTGTCGAGAGTTACTTCACCTGCCAACTTCTCATGCCAACTTGTCGAGAGTTACTTCACCTGCCAACTTCTCATGCCAACTTGTCGAGAGTTACTTCACCTGCCTACTTCTCATGTCAACTTTTTGAGAGTTACTTCACCTGCCAACTTCTCATGTCAACTTTTCGGCTGTTATCTCATTCTACTAAAAGCACAAGCTAATTTGTCGGGTGTTACTTCACTATCCTAAAAACACAAGCTAACTTTTCTGTTCTACCTTCACATCTCGACTCTTAATTCTTCTTCTTTTTATGGCGGGGGTAGGCCCGACGGGAGCTTACGAAACGCACCCCTCTGCGGAGATCGTGCGTGTCGAAGCGCTCTCGCTGTGGCGCCGTGCGAATTTGTCTTGACCTTGGCGAACCCTCTGCGGAGATCGTGCGTGTCGAAGCGCTCTCGCTGTGGCGCCGTGCGAATTTGTCTTGAGCGCGGCGAACCCTCTGCGGAGATCGTGCGTGTCGAAGCGCTCTCGCTGTGGCGCCGTGCGAATTTGTCTTGACCTTGGCGAACCCTCTGCGGAGATCGTGCGTGTCGAAGCGCTCTCGCTGTGGCGCCGTGCGAATTTGTCTTGACCTTGGCGAACCCTCTGCGGAGATCGTGCGTGTCGAAGCGCTCTCGCTGTGGCGCCGTGCGAATTTGTCTTGACCGGCGAACCCTCTGCGGAGATCGTGCGTGTCGAAGCGCTCTCGCTGTGGCGCCGTGCGAATTGTCTTGACCTTGGCGAACCCTCTGCGGAGATCGTGCGTGTCGAAGCGCTCTCGCTGTGGCGCCGTGCGAATTTGTCTTGACCTTGGCGAACCCTCTGCGGAGATCGTGCGTGTCGAAGCGCTCTCGCTGTGGCGCCGTGCGAATTTGTCTTGAGCCCGATGAACCCTCTGCGGGGATCGTGCGTGTCGAAGCGCTCTCGCTGTGGCGCCGTGCGATTGTCTTGAGCCCGATGAACCCTCTGCGGAGATCGTGCGTGTCGAAGCGCTCTCGCTGTGGCGCCGTGCGATTTTCTTGCTCGCGAAACGGCTTTTGGAAGTTGTCTCGTGGTGTGCGCGCCTGCTTTCGCAATCCCGCGGTCCCGGGCTCGATTCCCCCCTGGTCCGCGGCAGCTCCGGCTTGAAAATCACAGCTTTTAAGTACAAACGTAGTACGCGGAGCACACCCCCGCAGCTCCGGCTGGAAAATCGCAACTTTTAAGCACAAACGCAGTACGCGGAGCGTGCTGCTGCAGCTCCGGCTGGAAAATCGCACTTTTTAAGTACAGACGTAGTACGCGGAGCGTGCTCCCGCAGCTCCGGCTGGAAAATCGCAACTTTTAGATACAAATGGCTGGAAAATCGCAACTGTAAATTGCAAATGTAGCACGCGGAGCGCCTCCGCCGCTCCAGCTTTTTGAGGGTTAATTACTTCACCTGCCAGTTTCTCATGCCGAAACTTCGAGAATTACTTCACCTGCCAGCTTCTCATGCCACCTTTTCGAGAGTTACTTCACCTGCCAACTTCTCGTGCCAACTTTTCGAGGAGTTACTTCACCTGCGAGCTTATCATGCCAACTTTTCGAGAGTTACTACACCTGCGAGCTTCTCATGCCAACTTTTCGAGAATTACTTTACCTGCCAACTTCTCATGCCAACTTTTCGAGAAATACTTTACCTGCCAACCTCTCGTGGCAACTTCACCTGCCAACTTTTCGAGAATTACTTCACCTGCCAACTTCTCATGCCAACTTTTCGAGAAATACTTTATCTGCCAACCTCTCGTGGCAACTTTTCGAAAAATTACTTCACCTGCCAGCTTCTCATGCCAACTTTTCGAGAGGTACTTCACCTGCCAACATCGCCTGCCAACTTTTCGAGAGTTACTTCGCCTGCCAACTTCTCGCGCCAACTTTTCGAGAATTACTTCGCCTGCCAACTTCTCATGCTAACTTTTCGAAAGTTACTTCACCTGCCGGCTTCTCACGCCAACTTTTCGAGAGTTACTTCACGCGCCATCTTCTCGTGCCAACTTTTCGAGAATTACTTCACCTGCCAGCTTCTCACGCCAACTTTTCGAGAGTTACTTCACCTGCCAACTTCTCATGCCAACTCTTTGAGAGTTATTTCACCTGCCAACTTCTCATGCCAACTTTTCTCTTGAGTTACTTCGCCTGCCAACTTCTCATGTCAACTTTGCGAGAATTACTTCACCCGCCAACTTTGCCAGCCAACTATTCGAGAGTTACTTAACCTGCCAGCTTCTCATGCCAACTTTTTGAGAATTGCTTCGCCTGCCAACTCCTCATGCTAACTTTGCGAGAGTTACCTCACCTGCATCAACTTGCCTCTATGCTTCCGGGCCACTCGTCGTCTAGTTTTTTTTTTTTTTTCTCCGGGGCACCTGGAGTTAAAAGGTGGGCTTTCCCTTGTGGTTTCCTTGCGGTGGTTTCCTAAACAGGCAGAGGTTGCTACCACCTGGCCTTCCCTTGCTGGTGCAATAGGCAGGGAATGAGAAATGGAATGACCCATGTCATAACCATCGCTGGTGGTTTCCTTTAACTCACTTGACCTTTTGGGACCTGGAAATAAAAGGTTGACCTTTTGGGACCTTTACCCAAAATGGACCAAATCAGGGAAACCAAAAGGTTAAAAGGTCGGCTTTGGAAAGGTGAGTTAAGGGAATCCCTGGGTTCATTCCCAGATTCCCCACTGAGCACCAGCAAGTTCTTGACGCCAAATGTACCTGGAGTCATAATCAAAACCGATCGGTATAAAAATGGTGAACCCAGAACCATGCTTCAAGAATTAATAAGGCGGAGATCCGCAGCGATTTTTATGGCAAGGGGATTGTCCTTTACTAACCTTCATCTACCTAGGTTTTGATTGTGGTTCACCTGGAGTCTCCTTCTGACCCTTGAAAATGGGGGACAGCCCAACCCCCCATAGCCCTTAGTCGTTCATGAAAAGAAACAAACACAGGGGAGGGACTCCAGGCATTTCTTTAAGGAAACCTGGTTGTCCAGGGGTTAACCTCATAACCAAAAAAAGCCATTGGAATTTAGACTAGGTCCTCCAGATATGAGAGGTTAGAATAAGTTGGTACCCGGTTTTTGTTATGTAGTCTATTTTAGTAGGGGAAGCCTCCCCCAAACAAGGGTGAAAGGGCACCTACCTGGAGTCTCCTTCTGACCCTTGAAAAATGGGGTCAATGACCCCAACATTTTTGGTAATGACCCATGTTTTAACGGGTCATGGAGACTCCAGGTAGAACTGCAGGTACAATCTCCATGACCCTACAATTAACAAAAAGAGAGAAAAACAAGAAACAGATCGGGACTGTTAATTTTGGGTGTGCCATTTTGGAAGGGCCATGAAGACTCCAGGTACTCTTTTTGGGGTGGGTTGAAAGGGAAACCAAAGGGAAAGCCGTCATTTCTTAGGCCCCCCAATGCCCAGGTCGGCGAATCGTAAGAGTCTACCAGCATTTCCATTCCCTTAAGAGTCACTTTGTACCTTGTGAGGATGTACTTTGACACCTTCTTGTCCTTTTGAGACGTCCTCATACTTGCACCCGCTGGGTTTGTTTGATTGCGCCAAAGGTGTTTTTGCTTCTTCTTCTTTTTTGTGGAGATTGATACCTTTTCTGTTGGATAGCAAAGGGAAGCAAAGGCACAGGTATTTTGTCAGCTGAAAGCTTTGGAGCAAGCAAGCTCCAGAGACGCCAAAAAGCTCTGAGGGTCCACAGGCAGAGGTTGCTACCACCTGGCCTTCCCTTGCTGGTGCAATAGGCAGGGAATGAGCAATGGAATGACCCATGTAATAACCATCCCTTGTGGTTTCCTTTAACTCACTTGCCCAAAGGACCTTGAAATAAAAGGTTGACCTTTTGGGACCTTTACCCAAAATGGACCAAATCAGGGAAACCAAAAGGTTAAAAGGTCGGCTTTGGAAAGGTGAGTTAAGGGAATCCCTGGGTTCATTCCCAGATTCCCCACTGAGCACCAGCAAGTTCTTGACGCCAAATGTACCTGGAGTCTCCATGCTCCATGACCCGAAGATCATGCTCAGAACTCCCTTAGTGTTGTAGGGTCATGACTCCAGGTTCACCGTGTACTGCAGGCTGGATACAATTTGATTGGCAACCAGATCCGATTCAGTCCTAGGGCAGTTGCAAGGAGGTTATTTCTGCCAATGGTGGTTTGGTATGCGTCAAATGCGAACCAACATGGGTTTGATGTTCCTGTTGCTTGCCCTTGAAGTCAACCCTGAGTCAGCTTCCCTCCAAGGTTTGGATTGGTGGTTTGGTGGTCTTCTTGAGGGGTTTCCCATTTACCCTCTACAAGAACCAGTGACCCGTTCAAATCCGAATCCAAAACCACCAATTGGGGGTTGCCTGACTAAGGCTGCCTTTCGCTAACCATGGTTTTTACCCACTTATCTGACGTACCGTGCCCCTTTAACTAGGTCCTCCAGTAGAGAGGTTTTAATAAGAGTGCCCTTCTTTCTGTAGTCTACTTTAGTAGGGGAACCCTCCCAACCAAAAAAGAAACGGTAAAAGGGCACTACTGGGGGACCTATATAGTTGAGTAGGGCGTATTTCTCACCCAAGCAAGGCATCCTGGACCCAAATTCCTGCAAGATGGGGCCGTTTCAAAACCACCGCGTGCCTGAATCGGCCACCCAAGCGGAAAACCCAAGTTGCAGACCCAGGGCAAAAGAAAAAGAACATGGACTATTGATAGACATTGATGATCTATCTATCGATTATTCCTTTGGATCAGGCAAACTTTGCAATTGAGGGCATTTCTTTGTAGAGTTGCTGAAGACGTGGGACAACAAAAACACGGTTACGCCACCGGTTGCCTCTGTTGTCTTCTTCCATTTGGTTAAGACTCCTGGATTCATATTTTTTCCTGGTAGTGATAATTCCTGTTAAAACCAACAAGGGAAAATAACAAGAAACATTCTTAAGCAAATGGAAGTCTGTTCTTTTTGTTTTCCTTGGTAGGGATTCGTATCGGCTTCGGATCGTGTCCTGATAGCCACCACACAAGGCGATGCCCGCGGCTGTGATGGTGGAGTTAAAGGGCACCAGCCACTGCACGATGGCCAAGGTGATGAGGCCTCGAAAGAGAAGCTCACAGCTCACTCTCACAAAAACCTGGTTTAGCAATCTGGTTCTTTTCTGACAATGAATGTTCACAATGACAGTGGTTCGTAAAAAACCAGCTTCAGGTGATGTTCATAATAAATCACAATGACAATCTGGTTTAGCAACATTCAATGAACCACGACATTCTGGTTCATAATGATCTCACTTTATTGTGATTCTCTTTCGCAACATAATGAATCACAATAACATTCACAATAGAAACATATATATATATATATAACATGCCCTCAAACTCCCTTTCACAATGAACGTCATATCCTTGAACCATGTTCCATAATCAGCCTATCCCCTAAAATATAGCTATGTCTCAAAATAGCCGGGGAGCCCCTAAACTCGGTGACCGTTTGGTCTCCCGTGAAGCCACCCACGTCGACCCATTTCAGTTTTTGAAAGGAGGCCTTGGGGTTCGGCGGGCCACCATTAAAACCATATGGTTGGGTCAAATCTTCACCAGCCCTCAGATCCCCCGCGAAAAGTGTTTGACTTTTAGTGGGTGAAGTACAAGGCTAAGGAACCGGATGGCTGGGCTTGCCACCAAGAGTGTTTCTCCCGGAGTATCGCATCAACTTTGGGTCCGGCTCCTTGGCATGTGCGTCGAGAATCCGAGTCCTAAGGGGGCAGCAAAAGTCCAGTCAGCTGGACCCCCCCCTTGGTTTAAGTCCCCTGGAGAAAAACAAACAAACACAGTACCTAGAGTCTCCATGACCCGTTAAAGATAGGTCCATGACCCCACCAGGTGATAGATCCTGTCAGAAACCAGGGGAACATCCAGATGAAAACGCAATTGAGTCACAATCAAAGCCCGGTACAAAAATGCTCGACCCAGAACTAAAGAACTAAGGCGGAGATCCGCAGCTATTTATGGCTGGGATCGTCCCTTACTAACCTTCATCTACCCGAATCGGTTTTGAGCACGTGACTCATTTGCTTTGGTGTTTCCTGGGGAAAATACGTCCAGTAGTGATAGATTCCCTTTAAAACCAACAGGGGACAATACAACATATTCATTTCAGCAAATGGATGCCTCAATTGCAAGTGGATGCCATCAGTTTTCAAGTTAAAGCCCATTTTTATTGGTAGCCTGGTTAGTAAGCCTGGTTACCTACTCAGGAGACTTGTGAAACCATGGCAAATGGAAGCTTCCCCTGTCCCGCTTCAAAGGCTTCGCTCGAAGGCAAAAAAGCCCCACGCCCGCCTGCCGTGATGAAATATCGCACCAGGTCCTGCCGCGACCGAGGACCGAAACGAAGTCTTGAATTTCGGCATCCAAACGTCCCGGTTAGTTAGAGCACCTTATTTTGGCACAGATCCATATCCAGAAGATCCTTACATTGTCCTGAACATTGCAACTTGTAAATGGTGGTTTCCCTTTGTTTTGCCGGAAAAAGCCACATGTTTCAAATGGTTGCAAAATGTGATTTTCTTTTGAGCCCTGCCATATCCAGGGTCATCATATACTTGATGGTTCCCAGCCGCCCCTTTAGCTTTGGGTTTAGTGGTGGCTGCCATCGGACCCGGAAGAAATCACAGCGTCTCCGCGTCTCACAAGTAGAGACTCAGTTGTTCAGTGACCCTGGGAAACAAGGGAACCCTTTTTGGGAAGACCATTTTAGTGGGGCAGCAACCAAAAAAGAAGGAAAAAGGGAGCCACTGAACAAGTGAGGAGACGCTTTTTTGCAGGTGGTGGGTTTCCTGTTGGTTTCCCAAAAGAAAACAAAAACACCCAACAAGGGTTTGTTTTGAGAAATACGCAACTGAGCACATCATGTGATTGGTCCTCATTTTAGTGGTATTCCCCAAATTTCCTCTTTGAAAATCACCAAAACCCAAAAGGTGATGTCTAAACAACACATTTTGGGGGTACCCCCCAATTTTGCGACAAACCAACCTGTTTGTTTGCATCAACCAAGAGGAGACTCATCTAAGTGGCAACCCAAACTCGTGACGTGCTTGTTTTCCGGCCACCGGGCAAATAGAGCCACTTGCATATTCAAACAACTTAGTAAGTAGGTCACAACCATGGATATATAAGGGGACTAAGCCTAGCTACCCTAGTTATAACCATGGTTTTGACCTACTCGAGTTGGAAACGAACATTAAAAGTACCTAAAAGGCCAGGGTACTTCGTAAGTGGGTAATACCCGGAGTTATAGCCCACAAAAGCCATGGTTGTAAGTCTCCGTTCAGTGGGTTGTCTCGCCCGATCCCCACTTACCCTTCCATTTGCTTAAGCCCCCTGGAACAAATAAACATATTTCCAGTAGTGATAGATTCCCTTTAAAACCAGCAAGGGTAAATAAAACATGTTCATGTGCGTGTGGCTCAAAATTCAACAGGAAGGGCAAACCGCAGGTTTTGGTCCATGTTTCCACTTACCAGGGCAACCCATTTTGGAATTCTGGTTTTTTGAGCCACCGCCATTTCAGCAAATACCTCCCCCCCCAACCCAACCCTCCCCTCCCCCCATTCAGGTGGCCTGCGCGAAATGAAACCCACTCTTTTTTGGAGGCACCGAATCGATAGCAGATCCACTAACCACTTACCTGACGTACCTGGAGACTCCCTAAGGACCCGAATCAAAAATGGTTGGTCAATACCCAAAAAAGTTGGTTGGTCATTAACCACTTGCCTGACGTACCGAATCGACAGATCCTTGACCGGGATGTTGGTCTTGAAGCTCTTCCCGCAGCTCAAAGGCTCCTCGGATCGGCTCAAATCGATGCAATCGATCCGAGCGTCCACCAATCTGAGGGAAACCATGCAGGCAGGCCACCACTCGAAACCAGTGCGGTGGAGGTGTAGATTTTGGTGACCTGGTACTTTGAAGGTTTCGTTGGTGATGTGGTTTGGCAGTTTGGAGCTTTAGGATTGCTGTGGTGACCTGGTACCTGGTACTTTGGAGGTTTCGTTGGTGATGTGGTTTGGCAGTTTGGAGCTTTAGGATTGCTGTGGTGACCTGGTACTTTGGAGGTTTCGTTGGTGATGTGGTTTGGCAGTTTGGAGCTTTAGGATTGCTTTGGTGACCTGGTACTTTGGAGGTTTTGTTGATGATGTGGTTTGGCAGTTTGGAGCTTTAGGATTGCTTTGGTGACCTGTTACTTTGGAGGTTTCGTTGGTGACGTGGATTGGCAATTTGGAGGTTTAGGTTTGCTTTGGTGACTTGGTATTTTGGAGCGGGGTTGGTGATTTGGATTGGTCCTGTGGAGGTTAAGCGGGGGTTCAAACCCCAAATCACTAATACAGGGCTACCGGATAGTCAGGAACCCCACTTACGAGAAAGGTGCCCGCTGGAACTTTCAGAGAGGCTGAAGGGTCCAGGTATGATTCAGGCGGTCCAGGTTGGCCTCGAGGGAAACATTCGAGTCAATCTGGGCCAGACTTACCCTGCCAATTAACATGGAAGTCCCTTTAAAAGGAAATGGTCCAAACCAGAGCCCCCCCTGTCAGGCTTCATGACAGGAAAAATATGAGAGGGTAGATCCGCAACAAAGGCAAGCGCTTCAAAAGGTGAGTCAAGTCTGGCCCAAATACGCAGGGGTGGTTTGATGTCCTGAATAGGGACACCCCTGGGTTTAAGTCTAGGGGGGAAGTCACAAAGTCCAGTTGGCTATTTGTTTTAAGAGTTGGCAGCATCTCACGGGTGGTGGACATGAATCCCCGAATATCAGCCCTACCTTAAGGGGGATCCCTAATTCCATTTTCCCCATATATAACCTGGAAAATGCAACCAACAATGAAATTCCACGGGTCCACAGCCCCATTCGAATCATGTCCACCAAAAGCCAAATTGAATTTCAAACCCAATTGATGCCAACCCCAAATTCATAAACCCGTCCTATTGATGCGGGCCCCCTTCGCCAAAAAGTAATGATTCCTTACCCAGGGACACCTCCCTGTTAATAAGCTGGGGTTGTAACATTGCTTAGAGGCCAACAAACAGGTCCTTTACCATTGGGGACAACCATTAAACAGATGATATGTCCCACTAATTGTCGGGACTCTGGATACGCGTCCTCTGGATTTTACGGGCTTCTCCAGAACAGCGTGCCTTGTCAACAAATTGAGACCGAAAAGCAGATACCTCTCAGTAAAATGAGGCACCGTCCCTCCCAGGGCCATCGTGCCCTCTCACTTTTCCCATTGCTTTGAGAAGGCATGGTAATTTGGGGAAGGCTCTGGGATGGGGTCGAGACCCTCGAAAATGGGGGGGGCCAAACGGAGTATTGACCAACTTTTAGACCCGTCCTCTTCTTACTTTGAGAGCCAGATTCGAAAATGGCCGGAGCGGAGAAAGCAGGAGCTTCTCTTGACCTGCGTGAATCAATTGCCCATTACTGGTGCTCTAGGCGCTGAATGAGACATGGAATGAGCCCGAGAAAAACCATCCAACCAGTGTCACCTCTGGGTTCACTCCCACAATCCCTACTGTGGACGAAATCCATTTCGCACCACCTCAGAAACATTGGAACGATTCGATTCCCCTGCAAATACCAACCATGGTTTGAACCATGGTTTCCAAGTGGTGCGAAACGGATTCCGCAACCATCCACCGAGGGCCCCCCCCTCTAAATGGGGGTTCCTCACTTTTGGACCTTGGAACACCCCCCCAATGCATCAATAAGACGCATTTTATTCATCCGGTATCACCATGCTCCTACCTGGAGTCTCCTTCTGACCTTTTAAAAATGGGTCAATGACCCCATTATTTTGGGTAATGACCCCATTTTTTAGGGGTCATGGAGACTCCAGGTAGGGTTCAACCCCCATCCACAGCATTTCGCACCAAGCTGATTTCGCCCGCGCTTCAAGCAACTGTAACTCCGAGCCGCGATCTTCGGCAGCAAAGACCTGAGCCGCTCGGTGAGCAGCACGTCCGCCACGAGCTCGTCCACGTCCATGACGAAGGCCTTTGCTTCACCCATTCCTTTCTTCTGGGGTTTGGTTTAAATAAGGGGAAGCTGAAGGAAGCAAGCAACTTTCTTGGGGGTTTAAATCAGGGGAACTCAAGGAAGCAAGCTATTTTTCGGAGTAATTGCCCCTATTTTGAGACAGATCCACATAGTGATTTGTAAGTGCATGTATCCCGTGCCCTTCCACTTCTTTGTGAGCCTTTCTGCCGAAGCGCTGGTTTATGTCAGTATAGCTGAACCAATGGTTCATTGGGGTTCACGAGGGAACCCCTCGTTGGATTCGTCTAAAGCGGGTTAACTTTATGGCAATCTGGATGGAGGGCCGGCGCGGCCAACTCGATATTACAAAATACAATAAACTATTGTCTCACTTCCCGAGTGGATTGGCCGGAACAAGTCTGACTTTTTGTGTCTACCACTAAAATGGTCTTGCCAAAAAGTATGCAAAGTCGAGGAACTCAGCAAGTGAGTTGTAAATTAGGCAATTTCCTTGTTCCCTTAGTTGTAAAATTGAGTTGGCATCCGCTGCTGTGTGTGTGTGGCGTATGCTATGGGAAACCTAAGGAAAGGAAAGGCGGGTGTCCCCTTCGACAGTGTCCATGTCGTTTTCCGGCAAAGAAAAAGAAACAAAACAACCGAAAGGGGCTCCACCATCGAAGGTTCAGGGAGGAACGCGTCGCCCATTTCTTCAGTCCCTCGCATCGGAATCGAACTGTCTGCGGCTGCAGGGCCAAGGCGACCGCGTTCAGCACGATGTCCTGCAGGTTCACAGTCTGCGCCAAGTAGATGCAGCCGATGATGGCGAGCCAACCCAGCACCACTAAGCCTCAGCAAGCGTGGGCTTCGCCCTTTCATTTCCATAAAAAGACAAGGCGCAAGCGCGCCTTGATTTTGTTGCTTTTCAAGGGGTCCTTGTAGCGAAAATGGCCCTTGGTTGCCAACAAATCGGTCCTTTTGGGGCGAACTAGACACACTAAAGACCGGGGCCTGTTTCCTCATCACCACACCTGCGAACTCTCGTGCGAGCAAGCGGAAAAGCACCTGGTGACGATGTGTTTGGACATACCTCCTGACGTGCATCGGAAGATACTACTCGGGACCCGAGTAAGGCCCGAGTAGGGGAAAAGAAAGGAATCCGCCATCCAATCATCAGTAACTCAGATGCGCAGTGGCCATGGGAAAACGAGAGCATTTTTTTTGTTGGTTGAGATTAAAAGGGAAGCCTTACCCAAAAAAAAGAAAAAAGGGCACCACTGGCCCACTGGGCAATAGAATTAGACCTCCTTCATCCTGATAACTGACCCCGAAAATCAAAAGCCGCAGCCAATCCTCGCCCAGATTCCGCTTCCTGGCGCACCCTTTAGGCTTTTGCGCTGGAGCAGGGCCCCCTGTAATTGGAAGTGCTGGGAATAGAAACCTCCGCCAAGAGTAGGAAAACACACGCACCACTTGAGGGATGTCTGAACACCTATAGTTTTAGCCTGAAACAAGTTGAATCGCCCAATGCCCCCGATCCAGTTTGTCCCAAGTTAAAGGGGCAAGGTACTTAGTAAGTGGGCCATAACCATTGTTATAACCCACTTCCCATGGTAGTTATACGTCTCCTAACTTGGAAATAACCAGGCTTACTATCCAGTTACCAGGTACCCTGTCTTGCCCCTGATCCATCTTGTCCCGAGGGAACCAGTTCCCTTTTGGGATGGTCATCAGGATGCCTCAAGCGTATGAGCGAATACCATGTTTGAGGTGCCTAAACCAGAAAAAAAGGAGGTGTCAGTCGACTCATTTTGGGTACGTGCAGTTTTGAAGGGTCGGAAGGAGACAGGTGTGGGTTTTGTCCCGTTTTGAGGGAAGCGGTGGTTTCCCTTTAAACTCCCTTCACATCCACCCCACAAAACGTACCAACACAAACCCAGAAAGGCCCACCCCGATCTTCGTCCACTTGGGACATAGGCCATAAGCATGTCGGGCCGCGGGGGAGACTCAAGAAGACCAGCGCCAAGGTCCGTGATACCGGGCGGATACCTTTCAGCCGCATGCTTCCCTCCTCGTCCGTCTGCACAAACTCATCGTTGACCTCGGGAATTCATTTTTTTCCACTTGGGCGTTCGATCGACCTAAGTGGTGGTTAGTAGGCCTGGTAATCCACTTAGGGTACTTATGACCATGGCTTTTGTGGGATATAACCCAAAGTGGCCAAGCCAGTCGGTGGAAAAGGCCACCTGTGCTACCACTAACAAGAATATCTCCACTGAACCGGGGACTTATTAGCGGGTTATAAAGTAAAAGCCCAGGTTGCCAACAAATTACTAACATGTCCGAACACCCAAGCAGCTCTTACGGGTGTCTTTTTCGGAGGCACCCCAAACACGGTGGTTTGCCTTGTGTTTCCCGGCAAACCCACCAAACCATTGCACCCTCAAAACAAGACACATCCACAGGCGGCCTTACCCCACAAAGTGAGCAACCCCCCTGCAAGGTACCTCAAAACTGGCCCTGCAAATAGGGGCTTGTTGCTTGGGGAAAACGGCAGGCCCACACTCCGTTTGCTGCGGGTCAACAATATATAGGTACCCCAAATAGAACCCTTGGTACATGGAAATCCTGCAGTCCCCTGGCTTGATTTTGACCCATGCCCATCTGGGTTCAGGGCGCTTCCTCTACTATATGGAATCACTGGATATCGTTTCAGGTCGCAGAATCCACCTGATTCCCGAGGTGCCAACGCGAGGACTTGGTAACCACTTCCGCGCTCCCCTTGCTCACCCCAAAGTCAGGCTATTCTGAGTTTCGCAGCACCCCTTGCACCAAAAAGCCCCAAGCCCATTTCAGGAATGGACGGCCGCCTCAAAATCAGCGAAAACCACCCCAACTCGTGGAAAAACAGTTGTGGACGGCCTCAAAGTCCACCCCAATCTTGGACGGCCGCCTCAAAATGAGCGAAAGAAGCCCCAAGCCCATGTCAGGAATGGACGGCCGCCTCAAAATCAGCGAAAACCCAAAATCACCCCAAATCACCCAAAATCGGCGATTTCCGGCCCTCCTCAAAATCCACCCCAATCGTGGACGGCCGCCTCAAAATCAGCGAACACCACCCCAACTCGTGGCAGAGCAGTTGAAAAAATCGGCGAGAAGCCGAGAGGGAGGGCAAATGGGCCACCGCCAGGGCCTGCTCTATGCAGCGCCGGTACTCCACCATAATGGTGAGCACCCACATGACGATGGCCTGAGAATAGCTCTGATTCTTGGAGGCTTAACCAACATCACTTCCATTTGGTTAAGACCCCGGGAAAGAATCAAATATATTGTCCAGTAGTGATAAATTCCGTTTGAAACCAACAAGGGAAAACAATCTCAAGCAAATGGAAGATCAGGTCAAACAAACTCACCCTCATCGCAAACACGACTATACCCTACTTCCCTGATGTTGGCTTCGAAGATCAAGCTGGGTGGTTTGGAGAAAACGGGGTGGGGACTTAGCCACCGGAACCAGTGCCAGAGTGGGAGTCCGATCCAACATGACGACGCGTCAAATCAAACATCCGAGTAGCACTTCAGCACCAAGAAGCCGGGCACTATTGGGTTGGACCCCACTGACCCCACTGATTCTCTGATTTCAGCTGCTTTGGAGCTGTGCAAATGTCAAAGCACAGAAGCCCCGGCCCGAACGACATTGGACTTTGGCGAGTTGCCCATATATGGTATTGTGGTGAAAAGTATTCACTGTTGCACACAACAGGGGATTTTTTTTTTGTTGGAGAGCCTTTGGTGGACATCATTTACCCCTAAACACAAAACCCACTTTTTTGGGGTATGATGTCGACCCTTTGCCAAAAACGGAGGTATTTACCCTGAAATGCCCCAGGCTTTCCAAAACATACCGTTGTAAAGGTGGGTATTTGGAGTAGGGGGAATGACTTGTAAGTGTGCGTCCCAGTAAAATCTCAGAACATGCATAAAAAATGCATCGACAGCCAAGCGTCTAAAGAGCTGAGAATGACGCCTGGCATGGGCTTGTAGAGGTAGTCGAATATCTTGTCGTACTCCTGTCAATGGATGGATGTGCCTTTTATTGAAGGTAGGTTTGGGGTTGCTTTGTAAGTTCCCCCATTGATGGGGACAATCCGTAGAACTTTTCCAAACAAACCCCGCAACTACCCCCCCAAACACACCTCCAATGCTGATCGCTTGGGCTTTTCAGCGAGGGTTGTTTGGAGACCGGGGGTTGGGGGGTAAGGCCCAGGTTATTGAGTAAAACGGGCTACGCAAAAAGTCATGTTCTGGTTCCGGTCCATATTTAGACCTGAACATATAACACGGAAACAGCCAAATGCAGATCAAGACTTTTCCTTGGACCTGCCCTGTCCTCCTGCTCATAGGACCAAAGATTCTTGGAGCAAAGCCTCGACAGCGCTTGTATTGGTGACTGTGCCTACTAAAAAGGGGTGATCGGGTGCTTAGTAAGTGGTTAGTAAGCCCGGTTATAACCCACTTACCATGGTTATAAGTCTCCTAAGTTAATCTGCCCCTTTATCTAGAATCCTCCCATGTTCAACCAGACTCCGATTAAATTTCCACAGCCGTGACCCAGTTTTCTTTCCAGTACCATTACGTCTTACCTGCTTTGATGCGGGTCGTTATCCGTGGTACATCCTCAGAAGGTACTCTTGGATGTGGACAAAATCCTCCAGGCATTGGTGGTTGTTTAGCCAGGGTTGAAATCTGGTTACGTTCATCACTTGTCTGCTTTGTGGCTTTCGTCCATCTACAGCATGGTGATACCATTCATTCATGCATGCATGTATTCATTTCTTCATTCATTCATTCATTCATTCCATTCCATTCCATTCCATTCCATTCCATTTCATTCCATTCATTCATTCATTTCATTTCATTTCATTTCATTTCATTTCATTTCATTCATTCATTCATGCATTGATTTCCATTTAAGCCAACCGTAAAAGGGGTTGCCATAGAAAACAAGAAGCAAAACAGTTGGGTCTGTCCTTTGGGGACCCTCCAGAATGGTGGTTTCCTATCATGCCCTTTTTCGGAAGGGGGCCCATCCCACATTTGACCTCTTAATAAAACCTTATCCTTGGCTTATCCTAGGCTTAGCCGGGGACAGCCCACCCACCCCCCTCTTAGTGGTCCATGAAAAAAAAAGAGCAAAAACAGGAGCACACCCATTTGGCGGTAAGCAGCTTGCTCGCGAGGCTAGCCCCAGAGATGGCATCGAACCTGTCGGTATGATGGCCGTCGGAGACCCGCCAAGCGATCATCTCTTGGACCTTCTTGTCGGTGTAAGGATTTTCCAACATATCCTCAGCTGACAAAGAAACCATCCCGAAAAGCACTCCTGACCACAGAAACACCGAAACAGGCGCCAAAAACACCCTGAAAAAGGCAGGATTTTCCAACATATACTCGGCTGCAGAAGGCGTGGGGCGATGGGGACCATCACTAGGAACGGCACATGGACCCCTGTGAGCAAAAAGGGGGAGGGGCTATCACCTGCTTAAAGGGGTGATCGATTCGGTACGTCAGGCAAGTACTTAGTAAGCGGGTAAAAACCATGCTTATAACCACTTATCATGGTTATAAGTCTCCTATTATAAGTAGTTGGGCTATAGCCAGAGCTGCTAATCGCATACTGAGTACCCTTCCCCCTTTAAGTATTGATCACACCCCCCCCGCACTTCCATGCTTCTTCCCAGACATGGATCGATCCAGACCCACAGGACCCACTCAAATGGGGTGTGCCTTCAATGAATGCTTGAGGTCACCCCTCAGGATTGCTGACACCGAGGGGGGGCAACTCGGTCTACTCTTGGCCTTCTTCTAAAGTGGGTGAGCAACCCTAGCGTTGTTGCTGTTGGTTGGTCGGTCAGACAGTTGGATGGTTGGCTGGTTTCGAAGTGAACCGATCCCAAACGAACCGAAAAACGAAGCGAAACATGTACAACCAATATTTAGGAAGTTCTGTATTCTATCGCTATCCCCATGAGGGATACGTGCACGGACCCTCCCCTGATCATCCAGTTCTCTTCCGAAGATCGGCAAAGCATAGACGTTGATCACATCCTGTTGCCAGACCTTCTTTTGAGCGATAAACTAAGGAGCTAAGGATTTACACAAATGATCTGCAAATGTTGCTATACTTCCAGAAGCTGAATTAAAAATCGGATCCAAGTAAAGTGCCATATCATGGCTTTCGCTCGTACTCCCGAATCGGTGTGTTCGCGTCATAGGCAGAAATTTGTTGATCTGATCAATCTGACCATCATGAATCATCTTACAGGGAGCTCCCGGGTGCTGAGGAGCAATGTTGAGCCCAGATTTTCATGAACCTTTAATAAACTGGTTGATTCATATGGGGTCGACATTCCTTCCTGACTTGGCCTCCTGAATTGATCCAAATTTAAAATGCCTCAAGCCCCGGAACTCAAAGAACCAGGAGACACTCCAAAATGTTGATGTTGGGTTTGGGGGGCAAAAACTTAAATATTAGCAGTTCAGTGGATTTGAATTTCAACCACTAAACCACAATAAGCAAAAATGTGAAATGTGTCCCAACGACAACCATGAAAAGCAGTCTCTGAGCAGGACTACCCCGAGCCGCTTGTCTTGTGAGAAAAACACAAGCGCGAGCCAAGTGTCCAGGTACATGGTGAGCAGCATAAAGAGCTGCAGGGTCAAATTCGTGAGGCACCCGATCAGAAGGATCAACCTCACTGAGATCAAGGGAAACCGGGAAACGGCACATCACACTTTGAGTGGATGGCCAAAAGAGGCCCAAACGTGTTGTTTGCCACAACCTGGAGTCTCCATGACCCTTTAAAAATGGGTCAATGACCCCAACATTTTGGGTAATGACCCCATTTTTCAAGGGTCATGGAGACTCCAAGTGTAAACATGTACTTCCAAACAGAATAATACAGTCCAGGAACTCAGAGAGTGAGGGTTGTTATCATGTCCAACAAATGGATTAACTTCGTCCCCTGCAAATTCACATGGAAGAGTCCGGGTGAATGACCCTAGCAGATTCTTGCAAGGGGGGGGGGTAAACGTTTCCGCCAAAGGTGAAGGACTCATCTAAAATTGGGGGTGCTCCCGTCCTCGTTGATCAGGGCATGATCAATGAATCTGAAAAATGTACGATAATGCCAAATCCTAAATCAAGAGATCCCCGAGTGAAGGACCTACTTGGTGAGCTCGTATTATTCCCGGAACTCGCAAAAGAAAAGGCAGACTAGCCCTAGCAGAGTCTTTGAGGTTTCTCCTGCTGAAGGGTGTCGTCAAATGGGTTGAACCCAACCAAGGGTTGATCACTCCCCTGCAAAAACAAGATGCGTCCAAAACGGGTGCCCTAAAATCATTTAACATTCCTCTACAAAGTCAGTGTAGTGTGGGTTTTATGCTGGGGAGTGATAGGGGAAATTACTCCCTAAATCAGGCATGTTCGATTCTGTCTCATATTTGGTCTACCTGGACTCTCAGAATACTGATCTATTTCTAATTCACCCAAGGATGCCTATGCTGGGAGCCGTTCAAACCCCGAAATGGATTCCCGGAGAACCCGCAAGCCGAGAGACATGGGTGAGAACTGAGGGAATCCTCCAAAGGCAGAACAGGCACCCTCCAAGACACATTGCACACATTTATGCTCTTCTGGCTTCCTTGCGTGCAATTAGACACGGGCAAGTTGTTGTTGGCACTCAGTCGGAAAACAAAACGTGCTTCGGTCGCGCAGCTTGTCCAAAGGGTTGGAATGCTGAAAGAACAGCAGCAGCGCTGCGTCCCACATGGATGCAGCGAACTCATAGGTAGCTGAGTCCGCCATTGCCATGATGGTGTTTCTGCCGCGATTGTTGTTGTTGCCCTTGCCTTGGCCGAGTGGATTCGCAAAGAAAAACGTCCAGGAGCTGCTTGTTTACCACTTAAATGGTCCAAACTTCCAAACCCTAAAAGTGACCAAAGTCCGAAACGGAAGTGAGGAAACAACATGCTCATGCTCTGATTCATATTCAGACCCCAGAAAGGAGAGACACAAAAATCGCTTTGGAGACCAGAGCTATTGCGATTCACTCGAGGGCATTCAAACCAACTGACCAGTATAGTGAACATATGCACTTTCCTGTCGTGGAAGAATGATCATCTTTCGAGGTCGGGTTGGTTTTGGACGCCTTGTTTGAATGGCTGGTTTTGACGGGCACATCTGCCCCTTTCACAAATGAAGAAGGGATAGACCGTCCAACTTGGCGAATGCTTGGAACTACTTGGAACTGAAACCAATGGAATCCAATGTTCATTGCAATTAAGGTTGTACATAGCCCTTTTACATACCTTGGGTAAATAACTGCCTAAGGCTTGCTGATGATAATACCCCTTCTCCCTAAAGGGTATGTAGTATGTACCCCTTGAGGTGGGTTGGTAACCAGGAAACACAAGGGGTACGTACTTCCATCCTCAGGTTCATCCACGAAAAAACTGAGAAAACAAGTGTCATATAGCCGGAAATGGGGTTGAGGACAACGCAGCTATGTTCAAAGATCCAGATGTTCCTAAAAAAACACATAGCACAGCTGTGTCAAAGCAAACATGGGGCATGCCCAAAGTCGAGGGTTGCTCCAAAGTTGAAGACGTAGAGAATTCTAGGGGTTGATTCCTTTTCCATTATTTTCACCATCGTTCTTTCCAAAAACCGGATCCGTTTTCCCTGGGTTTCCGGAGGTTTTCTAGAAAGAAGGATCCCTGCAAAAAATGGAAATGGATGGTACCCCCAGAACAATTGGTTTTTCAGGAGAAAGGCGGGGTTCCCACAAACGCGAAAATTGACGATAAATGAAATTGTGCAGGGGTCACTGCGGAGCAACCCTGTTGAACCCTGGAGTTGCTGCTGGAGCCAAGTTGCTGGTGCTTGAAACCACCGGAACAATCGTTGCATCATTCGGCTCCCCGGTCAGCACCTCCGCCTCCAATGTCGATGAAACCTTCTTTCCTTGGCTTTCACACCAGTTTGCGGTTGCGTTGTTAGTTCATTTGTTTTCTGTGTTAATTTCATGTGCATATATATATATATATATGTGCATATGTTATGTATACGTATATATTTTGTTTGTGCTGATGTTGCTGTTTTCGTGTCTTGCTTTTGCTGTACACTGCGTGGTCCGGTGTTTCAATCTTCTGACCACAGATCGTTCGTCGCGTCTAGCGAGTCTAGCCTTCGAGTTTGGTGACTGCGCATTTTTGCTCGTGCCAAGCCTGTTGCTGCGTTGCCCCAACCAAAAAAGCCGCTCACGTGAACCTACAGAATGTGGCTTGGATGTGGCTTTTGTGGATCCACCCCTATAGAATATTCAACGAGTACTAAAAGGTTACGAAGGGCAAACCGGGGGAAGTCGGAAGAACCGGTGAAACCCAGAAAAAGCGGACCCAGAGCGTTCTGCAGACCTGGAGACATGCACAACTGCCAGTCAAAGTGCAAATGTGGGGAACATGGAAAAGCTGTCCATACTGTGGATGGACAAAATCCATTTCGTACCACCTAAGAAACCCTGGAATGATGATTCCCCTGTAAAATATGGTTTCCCATGGATTCAAAGTGGTGCGAAATGGATTTCGTCCATCCACAGTAGGGTGCTGCTTAAAATGCAAACCAATTTATCGAAAGAGATCCCCCCAAAGGGCCAGAAGGAAAAGCCGGAAAAACTTCGGCTTTCTTTTGAGCAGCAAACAAAACTGTTCTGTTGGTTTTATGAATATGGTTGTAAGAAGATTTGAAAGATCCTTGTCAAACTAGGTAGAACCACCCACAACGCTCGCGCCTTGCTCATTTCACCTATGGTTCCCGACACTTTCCGCTTTTCACATCACCTGATCTTCAAACCAACGGGCAGGGGACGCATACGGTCTCTGTTTCTTGGGAGCCCCGTTTTGGTCGAGGGACACTTCCGAGGGACCGTCCATAGCCGTCCTGGACCCCCTCTTGACCGATTCCTTTCTTCTGTTTGTGCCACTTTGTGTGGGTCCAAGGCTTTTTGAAAGGGGTCAAAGGGGCCCGGTCCAGGATTTCGGGAAAACGAAGGGACACAGTTGGCATTTGTGGGGGGTTCCAAATTCTATGTGGGTGTGCCAGTTTAATCCAGGGGACCCCAAAATGGATTCGGTGTTCCTTTCCTGCAAAACCACACAACCAACTCAACAACAAAAACAAAACACGTGGATTTCGGTTCCCTTTCCCTTTTAGCAGCACAAGTACCAACTCAGAAATAGAACAGAACAAATGGATGTTGGTTCCCTTTTTAGCAGCACAAGTGCCAACTCAAATCCAAACGAAAACAAGCAAACAGTGGGTTTAGGGTTTAGGGTTTAGGGCTTAGGGTTTAGGGCTTAGGGTTTAGGGCTTAGGGTTTAGGGCTTGGGGCTTAGGGTTTAGGGCAAAAAAACACAAAGCCAAAAACAACGCGCCGCCCCACGTTGAGATCGCACATATTTTTTCCAGCGGTTCTGCCTCGCCAGGCCCGGTTTTGCCAAGGTGCCTGCGAGCTCCTCCAGGAGCCTCTCCAGCTGCTTGATCCGCTTCTCCTGAAGGGAACACACTCACGGTACTTACCCCTGAAAACTCCAAGCCTTGGGGAAGTTTTCATCTTTTACAGACATATAGCCCATGTTACCCCCAAAAAGTTGAAAAGTTGTGTTTTTAAGAGGTAAGGTTAACTAGTTGCCCCAAAACAAACAGCTTGAGTCTGAAGTAAGCTTCAACAAGCAACACGCTTTTTCCAAACGCCTGATGCAAAGGGTCTCTTTTTTCAATCACGTTTTGCCAAACAAAAACAACTGCTAGGTCCTCCAGTAGAGACGTTAGAATAAGTTGGTGCCCGACTTTTTTTTTTCTGTAGTCCATTTTAGTAGGTGAACCCTCCCCCAAAAAAGAAACGGTAAAAGGGCCCTACTGGAGGACATAGTTGAGCTCAGTTGCCCCTTAGGGACTCAGAAATCAAAGGTGATCACCTTTTGGGACCGTTACTAAAAATGGACCAAACATGGGAAAACAAAGGTCGAAAGGGTGGGCTTGGGCAAGTGAGTAAGCGGTTGAGGGGGTTGTGAGGATCATGTTGGTCATCTTGACCCCATTCATCAACCCACCAGCTACTTGATGGGGGGGTGTCTCTGGATGAAGTTGTGGGGGATCATCACTTTGGAAGGGACACCCCCAATGAATAAACCGAAGGTGATCCATATGGGGTTAATATTACTGGGAACCATCAACAACAGTGATGCTATAACCGTGGTTATAACTAGGGGAACTGGGGTTGGTCCCCTGAAAAAAACATGGCTCTGATCTACTCACCTGACGTTGGCTGAGCATCCGAGCAATACTGAATACTGGGCACCTCGGATCTAAGCAGAACCCCATGTTGATCAGGGATCCTTACATTACACACCTGAACATTGCCGTGTAGATGGTGGTTTCCCTTTATGTTGGTGGAAAAAGCCATGGGCAAAATGTATCTTTTAAGGAGCCCTGTTGACTTTTTTTGGGTGTTCCCTGTGGGTCATCGCTGTTGGAGGAACACCCCCTATTAATTAGACGGGCTCTACTTAGATCCGGGGTTAACACCATGAAAGACCTGCCATACAACCGACCTTACCCAGCGAAAAACGCGAGAGGCAGGTTGGTACATTACAAGGTACCTCTCGGGACCCTCTGGGTTTTCTGGGAGTGACAGAATCGTCTCAGGACCCTGTGGAAACTAAATGGGGGTGTTCTGTTTGCGGGACCCCCCCTTGTTTCCCTTTAAAGGGGTACCCTGAGAAAGAGACACTATCAACCAAGCAACCAGCCGGTGCTGCAGCTGTGATGTTCAAACTGTGCTGTTCAAAACGGTGTCTCGCCAACTCCTAATCCAGAGACTCCCTAAATAGGCAAGAACCGCCAAACCCTCCGCCAAGCCGCCAACCCCCAAACCTCAATCAACTCACCCCCCCACCCCCCTCCTCCCAACCCCCACCACCCCCCTCCTCCCAACCCCTCCCCTCCTCCCACCCCCACCACCCCCCCCCCCCCCCCCCTCCCCACCCCCCCCACCCCCCCCGACCGCCGCACAAAGGCACGGCAAAAGGCACGGCTCCTGCTCGATCAATTGCCGCCCTTGGGCCTGCACCGTGACGGCCAAGCCCGCCTCCACCATGTTGCCCTAGCGCTGGATCGATCAGAAAAGCTCCTTTGACATGACCGAGGAGATCCATCTTCCTCGTGGTTTTTGTTTGATTCCACCAAAAGCAGATCAAAAAAGCTCCTTATTACTTTAGGGTACCCATTTCCCTTCGTGGTTTCCCCTTGAAACCACCAAAATCTGGGTGACCCTCAAAAGGGGGTTGCTGTTGGATATGGGGTCTCTAACATCACGATCATGTACTTTCACCCATTTTGACTCCCTAAGTACATGGGGGCTGGGTCCTACAAAAATTGGATGGCCCTTGTGGTTGGAAAAACGATTAAACAGATTTGGCATGTCAACCACATGGGAAAAGTTACCCATGGTCATTTGGGGGCCGAAGGGAATTTGGATCAACCCCAACTTCAAGATGTCACCGGGAACCGCGAGCAACCCAGGACCCACCAAAAGAAAACAAAAATACTTGGCCCCTGGGGTGTAGCACGGAACAGATGGTCTTTTCTGTTTTTCACGATTCTGTGTGTTACTTTTGCATGTTAAGTATTCGCGTAGTCTACCTGGACACACAATGGACCGAGTCTTTCTTTTTTCTGCCGAAATGACCCATAAGAAAGTGCTGCAAACGAAGAATAAAAGGTCCTCTCCAAAATCCAGGTGTCCTTTTGGTCAAATACATGGCCCTGGTATGGAATAAAACATCTATTTCCAGCCAAACTAACCTAAAAAGGACAGCGATGAATCTCCTCTGTATACGTTCTCACACAAAATAGGGGTCTACCAGCACCTAGGATGGTTCATTTGTAGCTGTAGTGCCCTCGTGTTAGGTCCCGGGAGAACCTTTGTTGTTACCTCTGACTAGTTGACAACCTTCCATTTGGTTAAGGCCCCAGGAATAATATATATATATGGTAGTGATGAATTCTGTTACAAACCAACAAGGGATAATAATAATAACAATAATAAACACATCTTAAGCACATGGAGGCAACAATACATGTTCTGAAGCTGCTCTGTATTTAGCTAATTTAAGGCTAGGGTCCAGGCACCCTTTGCACGCATCCGTGTTGCGCTTTCTCCACTTGGCCGACTTGATCAAACTTGGTATTGGCGGGCCCGACCCCTTGTTCAACGCCGAAATCAACGCCCTTGCATGTGTGAGGCACAGTGCTTCAGGCAAATTCATTCTTATTCAACCATGAGCAACAAGCATTCAGATTAGAGATCGGCCCAGGTATAGAATGAATATTCAGTTGCTTCACTTTGAGTCAGAGTGGAACATGTAAATGTATCCTAAGTCCACCCCGGCAAACCGACTGCAAATAAGGGATCCCCAAGTAGGCACATTCATCCTGGGCTTTCGCTCGTTTCTACTCCACATCAGTCACCTCGTTTCGTTTGTTGCTCGGCAGGATTGATTTTAAACCTTAAAACCAACACGCCACCAAAGAGGAACGCCCTTTCAATTGGCGTCGATAATTAAACCATGACAAAGGAGACAGGGCGCCTTAGTTGAACACCACGTCAAACTTGCGTTTCACGCCTCATCTCCGGATGGCTGAAGAGCCGGCATGGGCATCAAGTGGCAGGTTGCCCAAAGCTCAACGGCTAGGCGAGTAACACAGTCGAGTAATTGCTCGAAGTGTTCAAAAGCTACGTATTCTATAGGTCACATAAGGGCACCAACAATTTCAATGTGGTGGGGGTACTACAAACACATTTCAAGTCATCGGAGATGAACACATGTTAGTAAGTATGCAGCCCCTCACAAGAGCAGCCGCCCATACTCGACATGTGTCTTCCTTCGACATTGGATTTGGGGTGAGCGAGAAAGCTGCGCGAAAGCGTCCGAGAGAACAGTCGACTCGTGCTTTCCGAAGAGCAAGCACTGGTGAACGACCGTAACATCTGCCAACATAGATTCATTCTAGGGGGCACTTCCCCACTTCCCCATTCTTTCCAGGGATCCTTCTTTCCAGAAAACAACAAGAACCCCAGGGGAAACAGCTGGTTTCTGAAAAGAACGATGGTTGAAAAGAATGGAAAAGGACTCAACCCCTTTCATCAGAACTTCATGGAGCCTTTCTGCGGACACCCTTGAACCAGCCTGTCTGGAACTTACTTTGCGACCCTCGTGCTGGAAAAACCTAGCTAAAGCCCGAGTGGTGAGTCATTGACCCGTGGGCGGTGGTCAATTTTTTGACGCACTGCATTGCTGGACCCCTTAAAGTATGGGCAAACAATGACGTCTATCTGACAACTGACCTCACATGAAAGACTCTTGGCTCTACCAACGTTATCAGAAATATGTAACGGTTGATTCTGCCTTTACTATCGTCCACGCTAAACAAGGAAGTAGAACCAGTCACAAAAACTGCAAACAAAGGCTTAAGGCGCTGCTCTCGAAACTACAACTAGACCACCAGCAGTTTTATCAGTTGCTCATTTCGGTATGTCTCAAAATGAGGGAACCCCCCGCGAATATCCCCAACCCCAACTGGTTCTTTTTTGATTTCCTTTCAAGTCAACCTGAAATGGGTACGCTCCATTTTGCTTGAGCCGCCTAATCAACCGAGGATGTTCAAATTGATCCCCTTTCAAACAAACAGAAGAAATCAACAGTACTCTCAAGCAAATGGACCCTCCAAAAGGCAAGTTCCATGCCTCCATTGGCGCTCTTGTCCCCTGGACAAAATAAACATATTTCCAGTCGTGAAATTGATTCCCTTTGAAACAGGCAGGGGAAACTTAAATCAGGTCAGGTGGTATCCCACAGCCTACCTGGGCAGAGGCCCCATAGCTTTCAGCAACTTGGGGAAATAAAACCCGGGCTGCCCTCAGATCTCCCGCTAAAAGTGACCAACTTTTAGTGGGTCAAATTTGGAAACCCAACCACTAAACACTAAAAATGTCCAAAAAGCCAAAGGAACCGGATGGCTAAGGAACCCGGTTTGTTCCCCTCCAAAAGTGATAAATCCCCACTAAAACCAGGGACACCCCCGTATTTCATAAACCGGGGTTTATTAATCCGGGGTCAACTTTAGCTTTAAGCCGTTGGGAAAATGAAACATATCCTTGAGCAAATGGACGAATTTAAGCCCCAACAGGGCGCAGCGGGCCTTCTTCGCCACCCAGCTGGACCTGCGTCGAGCACCCGCGAAACCCTCCGTGGTTTTTCCCTTTAAAACCAACAGGGGAAAATAAAGCATGTTCTTGAGCAAATGGATGGACTGGTTGCATTGAAAGCCGTCATGCAAAGGGTTACCCTCAAAAGAAAGACTACCCCCCCTTCCACTAACATGGCACCTAAAAGGGGGTCCCTGCAAGAGGACCCTGATCTTCCAGGTACCCTCCCACAGGTGCTATGTTAGTGGGAGGAAGCTCATCTCATATGAGTCATAGGAGTCATAATCAAGACCGATCGGTATTGAAATGGTCTACCCAGAACTATGCAAAGATTTAAACGGCGCCCGCACTCACATATGGCTTGGAATATCCCTTACTACCCTCCAATTAGGTTTTTATTGCGACTCAAATGGGTATGCATCGGAATTTGGGAACCTTTGGTGGACATGAATTAAGTGGGGATTCTCACCAACCACAATCCAGGTGGTTCCCTACGACAAAATCATGGCCATACTATATCCTCTGCAACCATCACACCACTCGGGGGACATATACGAACTGATTGAGCTGGAGCATTCATTCCGAGATCTTGCCACCATGTTCGTGTTCAGGGGGTCTCGGAGCTATGTTCGAAACATGACGCGTCACTTCACAGCTAGACTTTCCCTGTGGCCGTAGATGAGCCTCCTCTACCAAGGTATAATATCATTTGGGTTCCATCATGATTATCCAGAGAGTATCTGGAGTGGTCTCAGATCCCCTGCTAAAAGTTTAACTTGTGGGTTAAATGGAAGCCACCACTAAACCCTACAAAGCTTTGTTGGACGGCTGGGAACCATCAAGTATATAATGACCCTGGACATGCTCGCAGAGTCTTTTGTGGGTTTCCTCATGTTTCTCTCCAACCAGCGAAGGATTTCTCATTGCGGCGCCCCGTAGGAATCGACCCTAGGATGTGTTCTGCAAATCCTCAGATGGGACCCAACAGAGAGGAGGGCACCCAGAATTTTGCTTCGTCGATAAATGATACCCGGCGCCAGGCCAAGCGCTTCCAGTCACCTCTATAGGCAACCAGGCATCCTGGCCTCCAGGTTTTTCATGATGGTTCCCCTGGTTGCCTGCGATAGTAACTGGCAGCGCCGGGATAGTCCTTCGGGTTCAATGGGTTTTCTGAAGGGGAGTACCCTCCCACCAATTAAAACAGGGAACCTGACAGCATGTTTTTTTTTTTTCCTGAACCATTTTCCCTTTAAAGACCCCGAAAGAACGTCAGGTTCCATGTGAATTGGTGGGAGGGTAAAGATGACTTTCAAACTCCAGGGACACCCGCAGTCAAGCTTGGTTGCTGCGAGGAGCCCCCTGCAAAAAGTGGACAACTTTTGGGGGGTTTAGCGGAAACCCCTTGATTTCAACCAAAAAGTTGAAGTCTAAAGATCCAACCCAATAGCAGTCAAGCAAGTGAATGCCAATCACGATCTACGTGTCATACTTTCAATCATACTTGCTCTGAACAAAATACTTTGGTACATTCCCCGATTGTTTCCTTTGGGCAAATCAGCAAGCATGGTTTGTCAACCCAGTTCAGAAGCCAAAACTGTGTAAAAGTGATTCTTCACGTTCCAAAGCTCATAAGCAATGTGTTCCCATTTTTTTGGCTGAGGTTCTCTGGTTTGCTGGCAGCCCGTGTGCTCCTATGAGCCAATTCCGGGGGATTCCCCACTAAACCACAACAAGCAAAAATATATTTAAAACAAATGCATGAGAGTGTCAAGAGCATGCAAGATGAGATGCAAGATGATATGCAAGATGCAAGACGGTGTCTCAGCCTACTTCATGTGATGAAAAAGGCCCATGATCAGGAAAATAAAACACCGCTGCTGTGGTTTTTTGGAGTGTCAATAATTAGAGACCCAAATCAAAGAAAACAGCGAGGCACGTGGCCAAGGGCAGGTGCCGCATATGCGTTGTTCCTTTGAACTAAGGGAGCACCGACCTCCAACTGTATGTGGGATTTCCGCGATTTCAGCATCCTAGAAGCAAACCTTGCCGTTATAGGAACACCCATATTATTCACAATTTACCAATGTGTTTCTCTGGTTTCATGCTGAGCCCTGACTAAAAAAGATGTACGCACCATGGGAAACCTGGTGTTTCCAAAAATACAAAACAAACCTGGTATTTGGAGTAGGGGGTACCAAAAAACAAAAACTGTTTGTCGACTCATTGGGCTTTCCAAATGTACCAACTCAAAACAGTGGGCATTTGAAGTAGGAGGAGCCTGTTCACACGCAGCAAAAACAAGTCTTACCCCTTTCGCACCAGACAGGACTTGAAGGGTTGTGAGCCATTCCTTCAAGGTGACCATTGGAACTTGGTTGCCTTTTGGTTTGCGCAAGGGAAACCAAAACAAGGGGGTATGAGTAGTAGGTGGCAGGTTCATGAAGAACGGGTTCCGGGTTGTGATAGAAAGGCCTGCCAAGTGACGCACTATCAACTGGATTTAAGGGGAGGTCCAATCCCTCACCCTAGGGTTGAACCAATTCCCGTTACAAGAATGGCAAGGACCCAATTTAGATGATGACAAGTACAATGGCGGCGAAATATTAACCCAACCACTGTTTTGGCAACTGAATCCCAGGGGCTCGTTCCTCCGACCAGGGGTCACTGGAGTTTTTCAAAAGTCGCACTTGGCTGGTGGTTTGCCTTGAAACAATCGCCACTTTAGGTTCCAAAAGGGGGCATGGAGGAACCTCCAAAAGTTCCTTCTCGACTTTATGGATCCGGCAAAACGCTTTCGCGTGCGACGTATCGCCTCTGGCGGTCGCCCGCGCAGTAGTGCGCCGAGGCGACGAAGGGCGCGGTGAGCGGCCTGAAAAAAAGCATGCCCCCTGAATTCAATCCGCGGTTAAAGCAATGGGGGTTAATCTAACCCCCATTGTTGACCTAAGGACTATCATCAATGGGGCTTTAATGTTTCCTTGTGGTTTCCCTTAAAACCCTGGGGGTCAAAACCACCATTAAATCAATGGAAGTTGATATTACCCACCCTTGACCTAAGGACTGTCCAAATTGGGGCCTTGCCATTCCTTTCATGTGGGGTTGAGCGTTTGGGTGTCGGTCGACAGAACTTCTCAGATGCCCCGTGGAACCCTAAGGGAGCGCCGGGAAACTGGGACTTTGTAAGTCGTATTCTGTTCAACGGCAACTGCGAAAGGAACATCAACATGAATCAGGGTTCCCTAGATGTCACCCCCAAGGGAAACTCACTTAAAAATTGGTCAAAAAGGTGCTGTTGACAACAACACGGGAATACAGGATCCTGGTAAAAACAAAAACAACAACCAAATGGGTGTGCCGTGATTTCAGGAGTACCCGTGAGTACCCCCAGTTTAGTTAAGGAAAACCAAAAGGTAAGCTTGAGTCCACATTAAAACATTCGAAACGGGGTACTTGCACCCTCAAACTAACCTTAGAACTGGGATACTGGTTGAGAGGGCCTAGGAATCCAACCGGCTGCAATGGTCCCAATGGCTGCGCCTGCATAGCCAAAGAAGAAACAGTTTGAAAGCCGTTGTGAAATGGATGCCGGTTGTTTGTGTTGCCAAAGAACAAAAACAACATAATGCGAGGACCAACCTTTCGATATATGAAAGGAAAGAGCGATTGCAATTTGCAACCAGGCAAACAAACAATACAACAAAGTGGGAATAAATGAGGAATGAAAGGAGATACAAAGAGGGCATAAGAGGGAATGCAGAGCCAATACAAGAGGGCGCCGAGGCGTTCAATGAGCGTAAGCAGGACAACAACTATCATCTTTGCGAAGCACAGTGTGATATTCGAAGCACTTTTCCAAAAGGCGAATACCCAGCCTTGGCATATATATCCGCTGTCAGGCAGCGGTTAAGCCCACTTGCTTAAGAACATACCCATCACGCGGAGCGGACCGCAACCTCGAGTCATGGTTGGGGACGACACTCTAATAGCCCGCTTGATCTTGGCAGGTCGTTGGTTTCATCTCACATAAAATCCAGTGGTCTACGTTATAACATGAAACAAATAGCATTCCGCAATTTTGTAGAGGAACCAGTAGAGGAGTCTTCTTTTCGGAAATTGCCTTGTTGGGTTCCAGAGCCGATGGGAAGGAAGGGTCTTGCAGAGTGTTAGCCCCAGGCGTGGCACCGCCAAAAAGACTGACCGTTTGCCGGTCCATCAGTGCACATGAGCCTGAGCTGCACGTTGAACGTGCCAGTGAATGTGGAAGAGAGCATCGTGTACTCGTGCCCTGCCGCAGGTGCATTCGCCGCAACACCAGGTCCTCGCCACCTCCTGTCCAACCAATTATCTGGGATTGCGTTGTTGGCTGGTATAGGATGACCAGCGACGCTTGAATTCGCATAGGCGCGCAATGGCCTGTTGTTGGATAGCAAGTAGCGCTGCCGCTTCCGGCCCGAATCCCAATCTCAATGTACACGACACTGCCAGACAGGAAGCGATCCCCGTTGTTCCTAATGTCAGATACAAGAGCATCTCTAGGCCCCATGTGGAATAGCTCTAGGTAGTTTGCATGGATCTAGGCAAAATCTGATGAGCCCTTGTGAATGGACCCTTAGTTTGCCGCACTTGGATACCCCTTACATACCCCCCATATCGGCACGATGGGCAAAGCTGAGACTCACAGTATTGCCGAAACTTAGGGGTATGTATACAGGCTATGAAGTGGGGCAAATTAAGGGTCCGTTCACAAGGGACATTATGGTCCGTTCACAAGGGACATTATATTGTGTCTAGACTTGGTCCTCCAGTAGAGAGAATCTGGGTACCCTTTTTCCAGGGGTGACAAAGGGCACTGGGGGACCTAGTAGAGTGGATATCTGGTCGCCCACTCGCATCAGGTTCCAGCGAGTCAGCTTGGCGCGGGAGACAAACAGCGAGTCTGGTCATGAGGAAAACAAAAGAAAACAAAACCAACCAAACCGAGACACCCTCCCACCAAGCAACACGGAACCTGACAGGGTTCTGTGTCAATACAACAAAAAGACACTGAAATTTGGAATAACGATTAAGGTGGACTTCGAACGTACTTGTTCAGGAAGAACTATCTAATTCAACATCATGAGCAGTTTATCACCTAGCATGGGTGGAAGGCAAAGGCTTATGCAATGGAACGTTGGTCAATTTATCCACGCCACGTGCACATAGCAATCCACATGTACACATCCAGCGACAATCGAACGTCAGGCATCCCTAAAATTGCTCAAACGTTCCTTCCACATCCAAACCTCCAGTTGAAGAAAGCTCACTTTAACGTTGAAAGACCACCCCAACTGGAAAACTTGGGGAATTTCTTGTTTTCAGGGCCCCAAATTGGGATTCCTGGGCTACATCTCACGCCTCCCGCAGGTCATTTCGACATTTGGGGCTCCGGGCAAAGACTCGGTCGCCCCGAAAAAGACCCTGGCCGGAAGCGGAAGTGACTTCAGAGGATTTCGGACATCCAGGTTACTTACACGGGCGAGCGGGTACCTGGATAACCATAAGTGGGTAGCAAGCTTGGCTATAACCCACTTAGAAGACATATAACCATGGCAAGTTATGGTACAAGAGAATCGGTGTCTGAATGGTCCCACTGGCTCACCATATTGAGTTGGCATCCGCCGTACCAACCCAAAGGGGGGTTCACCATTTTGAGAAGCGCCTTAGGGCAAGCAGGGCTTCCTATACTTCCCCTTAAAGGCTGAATGTATATGTCCCTATATTATATGAACCCCTGGTACACGCCCCTCGTTTGCAGTCTATGGCTGAGTTATGGGAAACCTCCCCCCAAAGGATCCCAAATGCGTTCATACATGAAGCTATACAATCAGCCGTTGATCCCCTCTTAAATCATCCCAAAGGGAATTGTCGGGCCCCCAAAGAAGCCCCCCCAAACAGCAATTGGGTGTGCCAAAAAAGGGGGGGGTACTCAAAAAATGTTGTTGAACGTTTGGCTCCTTTTAAACCAACCGGAACAGGAGGGGTGTCCTGGATTGGCAAAAAAAAAACCTTTTCGTTTGCCGCTCAACTGCTCCAAACCCAAAAGAAAGGTGACGATCAAGTCTACGAAGGCAGGAAGTGAGCAGACCCAACCCTCCATTTGCTTAGGTCCCCCGTGAAAAACAACCAAAATACTTTTTTCCCAGTAGTGAACTCGAGACCCTTGAAAACCAACAGGGGAACATGACACATACCTGGAGTCTCCATGACCCGCAAAAAATGGGGTCATGATCCAAAATAGCGGGGGCATTGACCCATTTTTAGAGGGTCATGGAGACTCCAGGTATTCCCAAACGCAAATGGAAGCAATTGGAATTTGGGTTTCGGGAATCCAACTCGCCTCGAGAAGTTCTCTGCGAAGGCCTTCTGTCGCGAGGCCTCGGAACTTTTCAAGTCCGCAAACCACTTGGACAGCACAAAGGGGTTCAAGCCCAAACACCAATCCAAACCACATTTTCTTGGGATGGGGCCAAGGGTATAGCTACCTGGACCCCCAAAAGACTCCTTTCTGCCTTTGTACCCCGTCTTTACGGGTCATTTCGGCAGAACAAAAAGGGGTGTTTTGGGGGCCAGGCGGCTGGTGTTTTTTTTTCCAAGTCAAGTCCACAAACCACTTGCTGGTGCGGAAATGACACCGAGCAAAAGCCAGCACCTTCCATTTGGTTAAGACCCAAGGAAAAAACACAAATATTTCCAGCAGTGATAGATTCCCTTTCAAACCAACACGGGAAAATTAAAAAAACACATTATTAAGCAAATGGAAGTCACTCGTGGTTTCCTTTATTCGGGGACCCCGAAATGGTTCAATCCCCAAAACTAAGACCGTTGCCCGAGTGGGTGGCGGTTTTCCCTTGCGTCGTGTTGTATGGAAGTTCAAAGAAATACCAGCGGCCTCCTAAACAATAGGGCCATGAAGCCTGAAAGGTTTATGACTCCGGGTACGCCAAACATACTGTGGATGGTGTCGAACTCCGACCACTCCACTTGCAATCCATGGTTGAAACCATAACGTTGGTTGGTTTTTCTTAGAGATCGCGGTATTATTTTAAGAGATCACGTCAGACACCCTTGGGTTTCTGAACGGTGGTGCCTAAGAGGATTTCACAACCATCAGCAGCCTTGGACCATTCAGTGTCCATGACAGGACTTCACAGGGCTGTCCAAACTCATCTGCCAAAAGTGACGAAAACTTTTAGCCGGCGAAAGTCGGAATACCCCCCACTGAACCAACGAAAAATATAGAAACAACTGAAAAAACCTAAGATTGAACCGGACGATTCGCTGGGCTTGCCACCAAGTTCAGTGGCTTGGAATGGGATCCAGGAGAACACACGCCCCGACGCCTCTACGCCTTTGCCTGGGTTCTTTTTGGTGTCTTCTGTAAGGAAGAAGGAGGGCCAGGCTAGGAGGGCGTCAGAAGCCCAATGACACCTCCCCAACAAAACGCTGGCAAAAGATCCGAGCTGTTCCGTTTGCCACATGGTCCAACCATTCCAACAGCGACTAAAATTCTATGAACTCAGGTGAGCCACAATCAAAACCAGGGAAGATGAAGGTTTGCAAGGGGTACTTACTCCCCACCACAAATAGCGGATACCCGCCTTCCTTGTATGGTTCTGCGTCCTGACCATTCTTCAATACCGATCGGTTTTGATTACTCGAGTGACCTGACCAAAAGGAACTTCCATGTGCTTACTGCTTATGCCCCCTGGACAAACACAAAAACATATGTCCAGTAGTGGCAGGTTCTCTTTAAAGCCAACAAGGAACCATACCAATAACAAAATCTGCATTTCAGCAACTGGAAGGCCCCTAAAAAAAAACAAAAAAAGCACGGCCATCTTAAGACCGGGTTTTGAGCACTCAGCTTCAACCTGTCCGGCCCAATTCGTTGAAGCCAAGCTGGGCGCCCCTGAGGGCGTTTTTGAGGGCCCTGGCCGCCTCCTCCGGGAAACCCTGGAAGTAGTCCGCGCAGGAGCAGACCTGCGACACCACCAGGCCGTAGGTCTTGCAGCCTCGGCCGGTGACGTGACGAGAATCAGCGAGCGAGTGACCTGACGAGGGGATGTGAGCCACATCGAAGTGGCAAACTACAGGTTTGGGGTGGAAAAAAACCCGGGGTCCCCAAGAAATGGTGGCAGTTGCAATGTGCGTCCCCTTTGGTTCGAGGCCTTCTTTCATCCAAGGGGAAGGCTTTGCAGCATGGGCCTTCAATGCAAGCTTCTGACCAGCCCTCTAGAAAGCTCGCAAAAGTGACTAGGGGACCATAAAAGATCATGCTGACCCATATTAATCAACCCCAGTTTATTACTAGGAGGGGTGCTTCTCCCTAAGTTTAGTGAGGGATCGTCACTTTTGGAGGGGCCAAAAACCACGCCCATGTCAATATACAGGGGTCGATTCATCTGGGGTCAGCCTCATTCATTTCAGCAAATAGAATCTAGGAAACTGTTGGGATTTGCGCCTTGTGTGGATTTCACCCGTTCTGCCCCAAGCTGTTCAAAATGGGGTGGGCTAATCTGAATGCATAATCCCTATAGGGAAGCCACTGCCAAGGGGACCCCTTGCGTAACCCAAGGTAAGGATAAAGGATTGCCTTTTCACAGTCCTTTTTTGTACTAAAAGATTTAGGACTCTTTTAACATCCTGCAGGGGTGGATCCACAAAACACGCATTCAAACCGTTTCCTCTCAAAAGCCAAGCCCTCTCGGGGACCCGTCTCTTCCAATGGGAACCCCCCCCGGCGAAGTTGGGTGGTTCTTAAAGAGGACGGTGGGCGAGAGTAGGGAATCAACCCTATAGATGGTAACCAGAAGCCAGCATGTAATGTAAAAAAGGCAACAAAAACTGGTTACTATCGTGGTAATTGATGGTAATTGGAAGCACTGGCTTTGCTCAACATGCACAAATGACTTCTTGATTCATCTAAATCTGCATGCCGATAATGGTATGACCCCGTCTCAAATGCGGGCTGTCCTCAAATCCCCTGCTACAAGTTTAGTTTTTAGTGGGTTAAATGGACCCCCCCAACTAAATTCCCCAAGACCAAAACATCTAACAACCCAAACATCTTAGAATTATAATATTTCACCAACCTGAAACTTGCTGCATAAATCACCATTTGGGCTGAATTCGGGCGTGTGAGGTCGTTATAATTCACCCAGTTGAAATCCAAGAACCTCAGTTCGACCTGACAATTCGCTGGGAAGACATGTGAGTCACACTCAAAACCCGGTATTAAAAAGGTCGTACTCCCAGAATCATGCTTCAATAAGGTCGGAAGGCGGATCTCCGCAACTATTTCTGGCGGATTTCCCCTTACTAACCGGATCATCTACCCGAACCGGTTTTTTGCTCGTGGCTCATGTCGGGCGCCCGGGCGTTCCCAGGTGACCCGAGCCTCGAGCTCTTGTGCGGGGGTGGACTTGGTTCAGGTGCGGTCAATTTCTCGACTCGGGGACCTGTTTAAGTCATGGGCTCCATTTTGGGTACCCATTTTTGACCCACCAGGTGTGGCTCAAAACCCAAGATGGTCGACTATCAATATGGGGGACCTAGAATATGGGGACGCCACATGAGCCATAATCAAAACCCGGTATTAAAATGGTCGTAATCCCAAAATCATGTTTAAGAAGCGGAGATCCGCAGCTATTTTTGGTTGGGACTGCCCCTTACTAACCTTCATCTACCCGGGTTTTGATCGTGGTTCAGGTGAGTCCTTCTCAAAACCAAAGATGGTCAAAACCCAAGATGGTGCTTCAAGAATTTTCGGCGGATCTCTGCATCAATTTGTGGCTGGGACTGTCCCTTCCGAACCTTCACCTACCCGGGTTTTGATTGTGACTCAGCTGGGGTTGTTCGATTCAAATCTAAATGTTATGGCGACCATTGAGTCATACTCAAAACCC